TGTTTGAATAGATGTGTATTTTTCACTGAGAGGAAATGCTTGTTAGATAGTTTGTCAATTTGTTACACAGATCTTCTACAGTCTTCTTACAGTTATTGTACTAAATTTTTTAGTCTCTGAGAGAGATGTGTGAAAGATTCTTGCTACTTTGGAAAAAGTAAGTTCTTTGAATTCTCTGAAATTCTTTTGAAAGTTTAAGTTCTAATTTTTTGTGTTTTTTATTTGTTTAAATTGTATTTTATTTATGCTATTGCAGTTGTCCCAATTTTTATATCTTTGACCCCCTCCTTTCAACCCCTCCCCCCTTCCCTCAAGCCATCCTCACACCATTGTCCATATCCATGGGTCATGTATATATATATTCTTTGGCTACTATAACCCTTAGGCTGTACTTTACATCACCATGACTATTTTGTAATAACCAATTTGTACTTCTTAATCCTTTCACCTTTTCTACCCATCCCCCTGACCCCCCTCCCATCTGGCAACCATCAAAAAGTTCTCTGTATCTATGATTCTGTTTTTGTTCTGCTCATTTGTTCATTTTGTTCTAGATTCGATTGTTGATGGATATGTATTTATTGGTATTTTGTAGTTCATATTTTTTTATCTTCTTCTTTCTCTTAAAAAAGAGACCCTTTAACATTTTATGTAATAGTAGTTTGGTAATGATGAACTCCTTTAGCTTTTTCTCATCTGGGAAGCTCTTTATCTGTCCTTCGATTCTAAATGTTAGCTTTGCTGAGAAGAGTAATCTTGGATGTAGGTCTTTGCTTTTCATCACTTTGAATATTTATTGGCAATCTCTTCTAGCCTGCAAAGTTTCTTTTGAGAAATCAGCTGACAGTCTCATGGGAGCTCCCTTGTAGGTAATTACTTTTCTCTTGCTGCTTTTAAGATTCTCTCTTGTCTTTAACACTTGGCATTTTAATTATGATGTGTTTGGTATGGGCCTCTTTTAGGTTCATCGTGTCTGGGTCTCTCTGTGCTTCCTGGACTTGTATGTCTATTACCTTCACCAAGTTAGGGAAGTTTTTGGTCATTTTTTGAAATAGGTTTTTAATTTCTTGCTCTGTCCCTTCTTCTGGCAACCCCATGATGTGAATGTTGGTACACTTGAAGTCGTCACAGAGGATCCTCATTTTGGGGAATTCTTTTGTTTTCTTGCTGTTCTGATTGGGTGTTTTCTGCTTCCTTATATTCTAAATCACTGATTTAATTCTTGGTTTCATCCACTATACTGTTGATTCTCTGAAATTGTTTTTCATTTCAGTTAGTGTATCCTTCATTTCTGACTGGTTCTTTTCTATAGTTTCCATTGCTTTTTTATGCTGTTGAAGTTCTCATTAAGTTCACTGAGCATTTATAACCAGTGTTTTGAACTCTGCATCTAGAGATTGCTTGTCTCCATTTTGTTTAGTTCTTTTTCTGGCGTTTTGTTCTGCTCTTTCATTTGGGCCATGTGTCTTTGTCTGCATGTTTTGGAAGCCTCCATCTGTTTGTTTCTATGTGTTAGGTAGGACTGCTATGACTACCTGTCTTGGTAGCATAGCCTAATCTAGTAGATGTCATATAGGGTCCAGGGGCACAGCCTCTCCTGCCACCCAAGTTGGGTACTTGAGGCGTGCCCACCATGTGAGCTGTGTACACCCTCCTCTTGTAGTTGAACCTTGATTACTGTTGGCAGGTCAATGAGGGGGATTTACCCAGGCCAATCATCTGCAAGGACTGGCTGTGACCCCTGACCCCCAATTTCTGACCACTGTGGAGGATCAGCTGTGCAGGGTTCCACCTCATGAAGCAGCACTTACTTCAGCAGAGCTCTGGTGGCCACTGAGTTTACCCCTTGGGTGTGTTGCTTATAGAGGTGTTTGTGTGGTGGTGCTCCAACATGGTCTGAAGCTGTCCATCAGGTATGCAGGCTCTGGGGCCTCCCAGGAAGTGTAGGCCAAGGTCAGCCACCACCTGTGTTCTGACTGGGGACAACTGGCATGAGCTACAAAGCAATCTGCAGTTAGATGCTATTTGTGCTGAGTTTGAATGTGCCCAAGGGAGTCCAAACTTTGAACCAAGATGGCTGTTGTCAGTGCTGAACTGGGGCCACTTAGCAATATGTACAGGGCATGCTGAGGCCTGATGCTACTTGTTTGAGCAAATTTATAAAAATATGAAGCATGAGCCAAGATAAGCCATTCACATGGAAAAACCACTGAAAACAGCTCGGGTGGGACAAACGGTGTGAGCCACCTCGGTGGTGTCTCAGATATGGTGCCCCTCTGCCCACTCTGTCGGGGGAGGGCTCAGAAAAGGAACAGTGACCTCTGCCAGCACTTCTGTCTGGGAAAAAGCTGCCCCCCAGCTCTTGCCCTGATGCCGGACAATACGGTTCCTCCCCATACATCTCTAGTGCCTTTCAATCGGCTGCTCTTATGCTGGAGCTCAGAGAGAGTGAGTCTGAGTCAGAGAGAGAGTCAGAGAAGGGGTGTGCATGGGCTCTTTAAGAGGAACTGCCTGGGACTCTAGCAATTTGTCTTCCTCAGCCTCTACCCACGTTGGTTTTTACAGACAGAAGTTATGGGGACTTAACTTCCTGGCACTGGATCTCTGGACAGGGAGGGCCCTTGCTCCCAAGATTTCCCTCCTGATTTTTATCTGCCACATCTCTTATCTCCATGCCTCCTACCAGTCTTGATGTGGCTTCTTCTTTAATTCTGTAGTGGTAGGACTTCCATTCGGTTTTATTTCTGGTGGTTCTGAATAATGGTTTTTCTGTAGTTTAGTTGTAGTTTTAATGTGGTTGTGTGAGGAGACAAGCACCATGTTTACCTATGCTGCCACCTTGAAGGGACATCCTTATCTTCTTTGAGGAACACAGATGTGGTTGTGTCACTCCTCCGTGATGTGACATCCTTGCCTGGCGATACCTGCCCTCAGCTTCCCAGAGGGCTCTTCTCCTGCCCTCCGCCACTCACTTTGTTTCACTCCCTTAACCACAGAACACACTCAGGCTAGGATTTTAACATTAGTTTTATTTACACAGATAATAGCTGCATAGTTGCTCTTTAACACATCACAGGAAAAGGTAAACTCCTTTTCCTGACTCTTTTACCCCCAAGTTGTAGTTTTCTCCTCCATTTCCCAGAAGGGACAACTTTATAAATTTGGTATGTTTCTTTCCAGTCCTTGTTTTTACATAGATGTCTGTAATCACTGAAAGTCTAATTGTATTGCTTTGATTATTTTTTAAAAAGTAGATGTATGATTTTTTTGCTATATTGCAACTTGTTTTTCTCACTGCCATCATAATATCTTTAATCTCTATCCATTTTTATTTCAGAATGAATGCATTTCCTTAAACTCTACCTAATATTGTATAGCATGACTATACTTTAGATTATTTAACTGTCCTTTTATTACGGATACATAAGATATTTCTAGTTGTTTGGGTTTACCCATCATACTGTGGTGAGACTCCATGAACATACCCTGTTGAGCACATGGGTGTGTTTCTAGAGAGTGTGATTTGAGGAATGAGCTTGCTAGTTTGTCCCTTTGTATGTCCAGCAGTTTTTGTTTGTTGCGCTTTGAATATATGCTCTTAGGTGCTGACCCCTTAGTTAAAATATCTTTCTTAAGTAAACGTATTTTTGTGATAATCTGTTGCTTTTGTAGTGAAAGATCTTGGCTTTGCAGCCCTTGTGAATTCAATGCAAAGTCTATCTTTCCAAGATACTGTCTCTCTAGTCTCCTGAATTAAGAAAACTTGCCTAAACAATGCTGTAAGCTCTAAATTAAAAGGGAGAAAAAAGGCTTTGCCCTATAATTCCAGTTCTAAGAAGAAAATAATCAAAGATATGTACTGGATATATAAAAAAGCCTCTCAATGCAACATTATTTTTTAAATTTATTTAATTATTGTTCAAGTACAGTTTTCTGTTATGCAATATTATTTTTAACAATAAAGGAATAGAAGTTGTTTAAAATAAAATTTGATATATCCATATGCTGAAAAATCTAGAAACATTTAAAATCTACCAGAGAAGAATATTTAATTATAAGGTTATAATTTTATTTTAAATATTAAGTGGGAAAAAAACAGGTGTGCACACCTGGTTGTGCAGCCTGATTCTAATTTTTACCTAAGTGTGTGCGTGAGTGCTGTATGTAATATTAACTGAACTGATGTTATAATTTATCTTATTTGGGGGATAAAATTTTTTTATTGTTGAAACTTTATTTTAAATATTCACATTGTTTTTATAATCCAGATGCGGACAGGAAGGTTTTTTTTTTTTAAGTCTCAAAAGCTTTTTGGACACTTAAAAAGTCATTAAAGCTTACCTTAATGCGCAAGGTTAAAATATTTCTATTTAAACATCATATGAACAAAATATATGCATCCTGGCTCATTACCTTTGACTAATACCACTGAGCAATAGTTGGGATTTGTGTTTTCATTCAAGAATGTTAGTAAATGCAGGGAGTTTTAAAGAGCAAGGCTTCTATGTGCTTCATTTCAGGAAGGAAAGAGGTCCAAGCAGGCTGAGGTCATTTGGGGTTAAGGGGAGTGCCAAAGGCACAGAGTCTGTGGGTCAAGGAGATGATGGAGCTGGAGGAAAAGTTAAAGGTTTCCTACCTCAAGGTTCCCAAACGATATCTCTCCAGGACCACCTCCTAAGTTAAGGGAGAGCCTGAGTAAGAGTTCAACAAACAGTTCTTCAGCTTTGCAAAGAGTCTGAAAACCATTGCTACCAAATAAACTTTCATATTTATTATTCTTGCTGCACCCTGCTCACAACTCTCTGACCATGGACTAGTTTGTGTGCCTGCCTTTCCAAATAGGAAGCTACGTAAGGGCAGGAGCTTGGCCTGCTTGTTTTTAATTCCCTGTATTCACAGCAAAATGTCTGACATGTATTGTAGTAGATGTAGTAGATGGAACAAATCTGTTAATAGTACTTTTCTTCTTCATCTGAATATAATGTTGTCTTTTGACCTAGGCTACAACTATATTCCACTAATTCTGGACAAGTATGGATTTCAACAATTGTCTTTTTGAAATTGGTGAGAATCTGACCAGTGAAGAGGTGGCCTCCCTCAAGTTCCTAAGCCTGGATTACATACCACAAAAGAAGCAGGAACCTATCAAAGATGCCTTAATGTTATTCCAGAGACTCCAGGACAAGAGAATGGTAGAGGAAAACAACTTGTCCTTCTTGAAGGAGCTTCTATTTCGACTTGGTAGACTGGATCTCCTGGAAAAGCACTTGAACACCAGCGAAGAAGAGATGGAGAAGGAGCTTCAGATACCGAGCAAGGCTCAGATCTCTGCATATAGGTGGGGAGATTCTCTATAATGTGAGCGTGGGGCGGTGTGGGGGGAGTGGACACATCTTTGTGGGAAGGTTGATTGCAGGTTGTCCATGTACTATGACTTTGGAGGCTCTGGGAAGATGTTTGACCATGGCCAGTTTAAGAAATTGAGAGTCCTGGTGTATAATTCAGGGGGAAAAAAGCTAAAACCATAAAATAAAATTTTTGAAGTGAAACATTACCTGTAAGTATGCTGACATTAAAACAGACTTTTCTAAATGTTTAACTCTCTTTCTGTTATGTGTTTATTATCTTGGTGTTTCTGCTTTGCTGATGCCCACGTTGTGTGCTCACTTTGTCTATTTTGGATAAAGCATCTCTTTTCACCCTGAAATCCTCCTCCCACCTGCTTGTGGATGAGTGTGGAAATTCTCAATGGAGTTTCAGGCTTGTTTCCACACTTGCATTACAAAGTCCTCCAATGAGGTGTATGCTGCCAGTTGTTCAGGACTGGCTGGGCCAGAGACTGCTCAGCCCCTGGGAGGCCAGCTGGTGCTGAGACAGCAACAGTGACTTTGATTTTAAATGGCAAGAGAGAGACTTGGGTATCTGTGTGTTCTAGGGTTGCCGTAACAAAGTATCATAAACTGGATGATGTAACACAGTGGAGTAATTAATTGTCTCATAGTTCTGGAGGTTAAAAGCCTGATATCAGGGTGTCAACAGGGTTGGTCCCTTTTGGGTCTCTACGGAGAATCTGTTCCATTCTCTTCTCCTAGTTTCTGCTGGTTACAGGCAATCCTTGGTGTTCCTTGTCTTGTAGACTCGTCAGTCCAATCTCAGCCTCCATCCTTCTCTGCGTTTGTCTGAATTTCCCCCTTTTTATAAGGCCTCCAAGTCATTGGGTTAGGGCCCACTCAAATCCAGAATGATCTTATTTTAATGAGGTCACAGCAGAAAAGGCCCTTTTTCTAACTAAGGTCACATGGACATGTTCTGGGTGAAGATGAACTGGGAGAGATAGGGAAGGAGGACACTATTCAATATTGGGTAATTTTGGTTTAATAAGATTGTGAAGTTCTTCAGATTATGAGACTGATGTGCTGCCTACTGCACTAAGAGGGCACCTTAGTGTGTGAAGTTCTTTTAAGGAATTTTTAGATTAGGCACCAATTAATCTTAAAAACAAAAACAAACAAACAAGCAAACAAACACCCCAAAACCAGCCCCAGCACTAGGAAGGCTGGAAGGTTTCATCCTGCGCCCACCATCTTGGTCTTCCGGAGGCTGAGTTGGACTGCCACGTGAGTTACACTTAGACCAACCGCCGATGCCAGACAACAGTCTGTACCTGCCTGTGGGGGGTGGGTCGGGATCCCTAACAGGGCAGGATCTTTCTGTTACAATATTCAGCCTGTTAGTCTGATAACAGAAGAGTCAGCATAAGTATAGTCTACTGCTTCTTCATCATTGTTGGTCATTAGCCAGTAAATAAAAAATATGCTAGCATGGTTGTCTTCATTTATATAAAACATTACCATAGGTGGCAAACACGAGGTCCGTGAGCTGAATCTGGGCCTCCACCTTGTTTTACCCAGCCCAGCACCTGGTTTCTATTTGGTGGCAGCGCCAAGCTCCTTGCCCCTAGTTAAGGAGTAGTTACATGCATACCGCCCTAAAATTACATACGGCCCTTTGAAGGCTACAGTGAGACTGATGTGGTCCCCAGTGAAAATGAGTTTGACACCCCTGTGTTAGACATTAAAATTTTCAAATGATAATTTCTGCTTATAAAAAAAGTATCTTCTAACTTATCCAGGTTTATTCTTAGACAACAATGCTACAGGAAAACCAGTAGGTTTCAGTAATGAGGAAAGTAAGCGGGCAAAATACTGTATAATAAGGTTAAAAGGGGCAATAGCTTTTTTTTCTTTTTTAAATTTTATTTAGTTATTTTTCAAGTACAGTTTTTTGTCTATTTCTCCCATCCCAGCGCCCCCCCTGCCCCGTGCTCCCCACCTCCCTCCCATTTCCTCCCCCCCTAGTCCTCATTCCTGTGTCTTTCATACTTGTTCCTCAAAATCCCTCCCCTTTTTCCCCCTTAAATTCCCTTCCCTCTCCCCTCTGGTCACTGCCCACTTGTTCTCTATCCCAGTGTCTTTGTTTTATTCTGCTTGCTTGTTTGTTTTGTTGTTTAGCTTCCTGTTAAAGGTGAGATCATATGGTATTTGTCCTTCAATGCCTGGCCTATTTCACTCAGCATAATGCTTTCCAGTTCCATCCATGTTGTTGCAAAGGGTAAGTAGCTCCTTCTTTCTCTCTGCTGCATAGAATTCCATTGTGTATATGTACCACAATTTTTGGATTCATTCATTTACTGATGGGCACCTAGGTTGCTTCCAACTCTTGGCTATTGTAAATTGTGCTGCTATGAATATTGTGGTGCATAGGTTCTTTGATATTGATGTTTTAGGATTCTTAGGATATAATCCTAGCAGTGGAATTGCTGGGTCAAAAGGCAGGTCAATTTTTATTTTTCCGAGAAAATTCCATACTGTTTTCCATAATGGTTATACCAGTCTGCAATCCCACCAAGAGTGAACTAAGGACCCCTTTTCCCCACAACCTCTCCAACATTTGTGGTTTGTTGCTTTGTTTATGATAGCCATCCTGACCAGTGTAAAGTGGTATCTCACTGTGGTTTTAATTTGCATCTCTCTAATAGCTAACGATATTGAGCATCTCTTCATGTGTTTCTGGATATTCTGTATGTCCTCCTTGGAGAAGTGTCTGTTCAAGTCCTTTTCCCATTTTTTAATTGGGTTAGATGTCTTCTTAGAGTGGAGTCGTGTAAGTTTGTTGTATACTTTGGAGATTAAACCTTTGTCTGAGGTATCATTGGCAAATATGTTTTCCCATACAGTTGGTTGTCTTTTTAATTTAATACCGTTTTCTTTAGCCACGCAGAAGCTTTTTATTTTGATGAGATCCCATTTGTTTATTTTTTCCTTTATAGTCCTTGCTCTAGGGGACATATCGGTAAAAATGTTGCTGCGTGGAATATCTGAGATTTTCTTGCCAATGTTCTCCTCTAGGACTTTAATGGTGTCACGGCTTATATTTAAGCTTTTTATCCACCTGGGCAATAGCTTTTGACTGGACCCAATCTTGGCCAAAGTGAGAAAGCTTTAATGAAATTCTTCTAGGGTAGAGATTTCATGAGAAGGATAGAACAAATGGTAATACTGAGTAACTTCTTTTTACACTATTTTTATTTGTAGACCTTTAATTTTATCATTCAACTTTAATGTGTTTTTGTATTGAAGTTATTTGCTTTACACTATAATAATGTAAAGGTTTCTGACTTATAAGACATTCCTTTGTTCATTGAACAGGTGTACCCTGAAAGCCTATGGCAGGTTAGGAAATAATACTGCCATGTAATGAGCGCTAGCTGCGTTGCCAAAGATTGATTTAAAACACTTCAGATAAACTTATTCATGCAATCCTCAACACATTCTAAAGGTGTAGATACAGAATTATTTGCAGCCTATAATGAATAAAAAATGCGTAATTTTTCTAAAGTCACACTGCTCACAGGTGGTAGAACCAAGGTTCCAACATTGTTAGTCTGGGTCCCCTGCAGTTAGACACTCACTGTACCTCACAATGAGTGAGCTTGTGGCAACAAAAAGGGCGCGGACCCTGCTCTCAGGGGACTTGGGCAACTTTGTAAACAGACAATTGTGTTACCTTTGGGAGATCCAAAGGCCCAGTGAGGTGAATGCAGTGCTTGAGGTTACTTAGGCAGTGCTTGAGCTGTTGGTGGGTTAGTGGTTGTCTGGAGATAGATAAGGGAATAGGAGTGTGGGGATACAGCACTAAGGGGTGGGGGTAGGCAGTTGGGGGTGTCTGGGGAACAGAGTGGGAGGGTGGTGAGGAGTGGCTGAGATGAGGAGTGGGCTGGGCTCAACTCACAAAGGTCTGTATTCCTGAACTTGTTTGGCCTTCCTACTGAAGGTGAAGACTGGGAGAACACTGACAAGTTTTAATTGGGAAGTGATGATCTGATTTGCATTTTGAAAAACATAATTTCTAAAATCAAAACTTATTTTTATTGCAACAAGATCTTGATTTTACAGCGAAGACAAAGGAAAATCATTTAATGACATTAACTGACGGACCAAGTTAGTAGAACTTTACATTCTGTTAAAGGTAGGGGTGTCAGGCATGAGTCAATAGTCTTCCATGTCACTACCCTAGTCTCTTTTCAAAGACTCAACTCAGAAATCATGTTATTAGCTAGCTTTATTGAAGGGAGGCCATTGGAATAAAGTCCGCCGTGACTCCATATATCAAATGGGAAATTATTTAAGAAAGCATTTCTCAAGTGTCTCCATATCCCACCACAGGGTCATGCTATTCCAGATTTCAGAAGATGTCGTTGCATCGGAATTACAGTCCTTTAAGTTTTTTTTGAACAAGGAGATCGCCAAATGTAGACTGGATGACAACATGGTAAGACCTGGTGTCATGTTAGGACTTAGTCCTGAGGAAGAGTCGGTCAAGGGGATTTCTGAGATAGCGGAGAAGGCTATTCCAGTAGAAACAACCTGAATTCTCCTTTTTAAAAAACCTAGGCTGGAGAAGAAGGCTGTCAGGCAGGAGTGTCGTATACCGTGAAGGGCTGCGTGCATTCATTATCAGGAGCAAGGCAGTGTCAGGAGAAAAGCAGAAGGCTGGTTGTGGGGGCACAGGCCAATGTGGGACCCTGTGGAGGCAGCTGAGGTGTTTTGCCTGCTTCCGAAACAACCTGGAACTGTGTGTGTGTATTGCCAGAGGAAATGCTGGGTGTGAGGCGGTTCCTGGAGCTGTCACCTTGGGGACCATGGCCGTTTCATAGCCTTCATGTAAATGTGCGCACAGGTGGTTTCGGCACAGAGCCTGGGTCCTGGGGACTGATGGGGCTTCTTCTCTACCCTCTCGCTTCTGTATTTATGGGCCAGAAACCACACAGTTACCTCCTTAGCAGTGTACTGGCTGTGTAAAACCAGCACGTCTTCTCAGGAGGGTCTGCTTGGAAAGCTAGTATGGACCTTTTGGCTTGGAGAAAGTGAGAGTCAAAAAAAAGTCTAATCTAAAAGCCAATATGGCCCATTTCCATCTTCCAACTTTATCTCTCCTCCCTTTAGGGCTTGCTTGATATTTTCATAGAGATGGAGAAGAGGGTCCTCCTTGGGGAAAAAAATTTGGACACCCTAAAACGAATCTGTCACCAAGTCAACAAGAGCCTGCTGAAGAAAATCAATGATTATGAAGAATTAAGCAGAGGTAGAAACAGCTTGATAGCTGTGAAACAGCAAAATGTATTTTTAAATTGACAAATCCTACTATGTCACAGTGTTTTTGGAAAAAATTTTATTTGTTTTTTAGAGAGAGAGAGAGGAAAGAAAAGGGGGGAACATTGTTGTTCCACTTATTTATCCATTTATTGATGCATTCATTGGTTGCTTCTTGTATGTGTCCTGACCAGAGATTGAACCTGCAACCTTGGAGTATTCGGATGATGCTCTAACCAACTGAGCTATGCAGCCAGGGGTGTCACAGTGTTTTTAATAAAAAAAACTGTGTTTCTGTTTCAATTTAGAGGTTCATAAAGAGCCAAAGTAAAATCAATGAATCATTGTAGTAATTAATACAAATTTATTGTTGTATTTAAAAAAAGACACTAAAAACCTTTGCACACTGGAAGTATTCAAAACAAAACATAGAATGAGCCTCAGGAGTGAGAAAGCAGTGACCATTTATTCTTCACGGTGATTGGTTATGTTAGCATTTCCTCAGATGATAGGTGATTTGGCCAGTGGTTACCTTATATCAAACTCGAAAAAAGATATGAAAAAAGTTCAAGTTTTGCTCATGATTTTCAGAGGTGCAAACCAGGTTAAATTAGTCTTGCAACATAAGATAAATTAAACTTTGCTTGTATGATTAAATTGGTTTAGTCTGCGCAGGAAGTTTGTTTTGTTTTTGTTTTTTGCATTTTAACATCTTGAAAGAAGTTGAGATGAATTTTCAAACGTTAATACCTTGAGATGTTTTCAAGGACTATTTAGCTGATTTGCTCTTCGATATCCTCGTTCCTTCCTCTCTACCACCTCCACCATTTAGAACCACATTTTAATGGATCTATTGCCTAATCGGTAAAGGCGTGGTAGCTACTTGTTGTCACCTTTAGTTAAACACTAAAAGATGTGTCAAAAGACCCAGACTGTGACCTCAGGCCAGCAAGTTTGAAATAGATGCAGAGTTAGACAGTAGTGAGAATTTTATTTATTCTGTGGATTCAAGAATATTATGTTCAAGGCAGCCTGTGAATTTTCCTTTTAAATGAGACTTTATGTTGTCCAAGGTTCTACATATTTCTTTCCTAAAGTATCCTCTCTGCCATGTCTCATTCCAGATACGTCTCCACCATTTGTAAACGAGGTGTCATTTAGGATGCTGTCGGTGTCGGACAATTCAAGAGAACAGGACTGCGAATCTTCAAAACAGGACAGTGGGTCACAACAGGTAGAAGGAACCCTCCGGTTACTTCTTTCCTTTCACCGCAGATTCTAGTTAGCTTTGTTAGCTTCCAGATAAACTAGTGAGGGGATGATATTTAGTGAATATTTTGAGAACTGCAGAAAAATTTCTCAAAAGGACAAGCTTAAAGGGTGACTTTTTAATTAAAAAATATGTGATCTCTTCGGTTTCTTATGTGTTAAATTTCTGTTTTAAAACCAAAGACAAAGACATAGACACAGTTGGAGGGCAGAGAGGTGAGAAGTCTCCTACGGAACCCTTTCAGCAGCTGCATCGGCCTGAATGGGAGAGGGCTTTAGGGAAGCGTCCAGCAGCACTGGAAAAAGTCAAGCTTGACATTTCAAAACTGTTTCTCCTTTGTGTTAGGTGTGAGTAGCAAATGCTCATGATCTAGCCATCTCTGCATTGTCACCTCAATGAGCTGGTGCAGGAATTCCCTTTCTAGACATAATCACTTCTGTTCATGTAACCTTCAGCAATCCACCAAACACATTCTGACTCATTAGTCCATTCACTCCTCTCTGTGGTGGGAAGCAGAGGAGTCCAGAGGGAGACTTGAAATTAAGCTTGAGAAAAACAATTTATGAGTGGGCTCCTGAGCACATTACCAGACCTCTCGCAGTCTGAAAATCAAGGATCAACCAAAGTCAGGTAGCACTTCGCAGAGTAAAGCACACCAGCAGTGCTGCCCCCCAAAAACAGCTAGGAATACTGAATGCAAGAGAGATTAGGTAACTTGATCAAAGTTTTAAGGTTACTTAATGTATAGAGCCAAGAATTTTATGACCCACCCCAGCCCAGAGCCCTTTTCTCTGCTTAGAGAAGCTGCATGGATTTCCCCCCAAATGCTGAGTATCTGAGCACTGAAACAGCCCTGGGAAGAAGGAGGACAGACTCGGGCCATCTGTGCCCGTGAACATCAGGTGCTAGAGTCTTATAATAGTAACCCTCGGCACAGCCACGATCTGCCTGACCAGTGCATCTCTCACCTTCACTGTGGTCCTGAGAGCCAGATTAATCCATCAGCTTTAAAAGTCCTGGGACACTTTTTTCATGTGTGAAGAGCAGGACCTCGGCTATAAGCCTGAAAGCATGGATGAGTTGAGGAGATAGCCAAGGAAATCACACACAAGGTCACGGAAGGGCAGCCCAAAGAGAACCTACGACATCAGTTCTTTGAGCAAACTCCTGACTGAACTCTCGCAAATTAGTAAGTCCTAGCTCCTGACAACAGATGTCATCTGCCTTGAGGAAAAAATGCAAACAAATAATACATTGTGATGACAATATTAATATAAGTGCAAAGTACTCTCTAGGCCCAAGTTTGGGACATTGACTTTATACACTAATGGTGGAGCAGAAGTTAGAGAATTCTCCTGTTTGAGGAGAAGAGGTAGAAACTACCTAGTTCATTAGGGAAACAATGTGACCTTGGGTTGGACCTGTGGAATGAGCACTTGCAGCCCACTCTGGTTTGGGGGACAGCCTAACCTTGAACCAGGGATTTGTTTATTCACGTCTCATGTTTGACTCACAGAGTCAGCTCCTGGGTTGCATTTTTGTTTTTCAGACATTGGACAAAATTTACCGAATGACCAGCGAACCGCGGGGGTACTGTGTCATCTTTAACAATTATGACTTTAGCCTAGCAAGGAAGACTGTGCCCAAGCTTCACAACATGAAGGATAGAAACGGAACAGACTTGGATGCAGGTATAGTAGAACCAAAAAAGAAGTAAAACATTTCTAACACTTACATTTTTATCAAAAGGGAGAGCAAAAGCCATACCAACAGGGTCATACATTTCAAATAAAATGGATATAACCACATTTTCCTGTGGCGGTAAAGGACATTCTTGTATTTTTACTAGTTTTCTGCTTTTTCTCTTAAACTTAATTTTTAAAAGTAAAGCAATATATATAAAGATAAAATATTAAATCTTATTAAAAGGCTTATACTAGAAAGCAGCAATAACTTTCACTTTTAATTCCACTAAATGAATAGTGCTTCTATTGAATGTGTCAGATCTTACAATGTGGGTATCGCGCCCACTTATAGAAGTTGCATTTATAACAGAGGACTGCAGCAATTATCAGTCCTCAATAGAAATAGCATTTTGCAAATGTTAAACTAGACAGAAATTATTTTGTTCAGCTTATCTCAGCTAAGATTGAAAGTGCACAAGTTAAATGAAAAACTAATTTGCAGTGTGTGAACACAGAAATGGCTACAACTAAAAGCAATAATAGAAATAATCTGTCCCAACCATTGTGATATCAATAATTTTTACTTGATCAAATAATTTTTAAAAGTTATAACATCAGGTAACAACTTATTTTTTAAGTTGAGTAAAATTTAGAAAAGTAAGGTAGGCTGATTTTAATCATCAGGACTCTGCCAAAGGTCTCTGTTAACACTTGTTTATTCAAGCAAATCTTTTCTGTAATTTTAAAAAGCCACAGAGCAAAAAGTCCATTGATTACACCATTTATCACCACACATCTTGGTACTGAAGAAAAGGTTTCAGGTCTTTGATTTCCATTCATTTACTATTAAAACATTTATTAAAATGATACTTGATTGTATTTCTGGCATTTCGTCAAAGGGTACAAACATGCAGTTATGTAGGGTGAGTAATTCTAGCAATCTAATGGATGGCATGATGACTATAATTAATTATACTGTATTAAGCCCTGGCCGGTGTGGCTCAGTTGTTTGGGGGTGATCCCACAAACTGAAAGGCCACAGGTGTGATTCCCAGTCAGGGCACATGACGGGATTGTGGGTTCAGTCCCCACTCAGGGTGCATGCAAGAGGCAACTGATCGATGTTTCTCTCTCACACCAATATTTCTGTCTCTCTCTTTCTCTCTTTCTTTCCCTCTCTCTGCAATCAATAAAAATAATACTGTATTGAATACCAGAAATATGCTAGGAGACTATTTCAGGTGCTCTGGTCACACATACACGGTATCTATGTGTGGAGATACGTTATTTGCTTGTTTACGTTAATCATTTCACTATGTATATCATCATGTTGTATACCTTAAGCACATACAATTTTTCATAAAGGAATCAGACAGGCAACCAGAAGATACTGAAAGACTTTGACTAGCTCTATGAGCACATTATGGGGGAAAATAACATTAAGCACACAGGAAACAAAGCAATAAAAAAAATAGTGCAATTACTAATTCCATGAAAGACAAAAGTTTAATAAGAAAGGAAGCATAATTAAATAATACTATGTTTAAATAGTACTGGTAATACAAACATTACTAATGATTGAATTAAAAATGGTAAATAATTGTATAACAGCACCAAAAGCTCATTACCTGTAATAGGAATTCAATACAAAAGTCAAACATTATCAATGAATAAATAGTATGCCCAAATTTATTACAAAATGGAGGTTAATTATACAAAAAAAGAGTAGTTAAAAGTTGAAATTGGTTACCTTCATGGAACATGACTGGGTGATATAGACGGGCAGAGAGGGGATAGTTTTTTTGCATAGGTCTTTTAGATCTATTTGACTTTTGAAACTTTCATATATTGTATTTTTAAAATATGTTATGCTATTACATAACATATTATGCTATTACAGTTGTCCCATTCCCCCCTTTATTCCCCTCCACCCTGTGCACTCTTTCCCACCCACTTTCCCCCCTTTAGTTCATGTCCATGTGTCATACTTATAAGTTCTTTAGCTTCTACATTTTCCCTACTATTCTTGCCCTCCACTGTCTATTTTCTACCTACCATCTATGCTACTTATTCTCTGTACCTTTTCCCCATCTCTCCTCCTCCCACTCCCATGTTGCTCTACCTTCATGTGATCTCCATTTCTGTGTTTCTGTTCCTGTTCTAGTTGTTTGCTTAGTTTGTTTTTTTGTTAGTTTTAGGTGTGGTTGTTAGTAATTGTGAGTTTGCTGTCATTTTACTGTGCATGTTTTTTATCTTCTTTTTCTTAGATAAGTCCCTTTAACATTTCATATAATAAGGGCTTTGTGATGATGAACTCCTTTAACTTGACTTTATCTGGAAAGCACTTCATCTGCCATTTTATTCTAAATGAAAGCTTTGCTGGATAGAGCAATCTTGGATGTAGGTTCTTGTCTTTCATGACTTGGAATACTTCTTTCCAGCCCCTTCCTGCCTGCAAGGTCTCTTTTCAGAAATCTGCTGACAGTCTGATGGGAACTCCTTTGTAGGTACTGTCTCCTTATGTCTTGCTGCTTCTAGGATTCTCTCCTTCATTTTATTCTGGGCTAATATAATGATGTGCTTGGTGTGTTCCTCCTTGGGTCCAACTTCTTTAGGACTCTCTGAGCTTCCTGGACTTCCTGGAAGTCTATTGCCTGTGCCAGATTGGGGAAGTTCTCCTTTATTATTTGTTCACATAACTTTTCCACTTGTTGCTCTTCCTCTTCTCCTTCTGGTACCCCTATAATTCAGATGTTGGGATGTTTAAAGATGTCTTGGAGGTTCCTAAGCCTCTCCTCATTTTTTAAAACTCGTTTCTTCATTCTTTTCTGTTTGGTTGTTTCTTTCTTCCTTCTGGTACACTCCACTGATTTGAGTTCCAGTTTCCTTCCCATCACTATTGGTTCCCTGTGCATTTTCTTTTATTTCACTTAGCTTAGCCTTCATTTTTTTCATCTAATTTACAACCAAATTCAACCAATTCTGTGAGCATCCTGATCAGCAGTGCTTTGAACTCTGCATCTGATAGGTTGGCTATCTCTTTGTCACTTAGTTATATTTTTTCTGTAACTTTGATCTGTTCTTTTGTTTGGGTCATTGTTTTTTGTCTTGATGCACCTGTTACGTAGTGAGTAGCAGAGCCTTAGGTGTTCACCAGGGCAGGGCAACCCAGTTGCTGGGTTGTGATGCTGTATGTGGGGCAGGGGTCCCAGAAGGAACAATGACACTTGCTCCACTCTGCTGGATTTCAGTCACTTCCCCCACTTCCCCCGAGCAAACTGGGCCCTTCTGGTGCTGATTCTCAGGTGGGTGAGCTTGTGTACATTCTAGGACCCTGTGGATCTCTCCAACAAACTCTCCTGTGAGGCTGAAAGTCTCTCCCGGGACCTCAACCCCCACAGATGTTTTCAATTGGTATTTTGAGGCTTTATTTCCCTGAGCTGGAGCCCTGGCTTGTGTGGTCTGTCTTACTCCCCAGTCTCACCTGATTTATCTGTATGTGAAGGTGGGACCACCCGGTTTGCTAGCCGCTTTGCACACCACACCCCTCCACAGTCCATCACCTCACTGGGTTGGCCCGCTGTCACCCTGAGTGCCTGGGGTCTGCCAGCCACCACTTTTTTTTGCTACAACCCCTCCCCTCCTGTCCGCCTGACTCCGCCCCTCCTACCGGTCTGGATGAATGTGTCTATTTTAACTCCTTGGTTGTGGGACTTCCATGCAGTTCAATTTTTTGTCAGTACTGGTTATTTTTGTGTCCTAAATTTTTGTCATGTCCTTATTTTGGTTGTGCGAGGAGGCACAGTGTGTCTACCTACACCTCTTGGCTGGAAGTCCATATATTGTATTTTAACCATTTTGAGAGGGTTCAGAATAAAATAAGTATGGATCTTTTGTTAAAATTTTTTTTTGTTTTTTGTTTTCTGGTTATGTAAGTTACATAAAATTCTTAAATTGGTTTAGTAGTAAGCCTAGAAAATGGCTTACTTGTCTTGTAGAGTAGTTGAGATAAAACAGCAGGTCAACAATAATACTCTATATCTTTTTATTTTTGTGTTCACCTCAAGACTTGAAAGTTTTTTCAGCAGGTGGCAATAACTGTTACAAGTTTATGGAATCCAGCCACTAATATAAAGGGCCTTATTCTTAAGGTCTGATTCAGATTTTTATCTGATCAATGTTCCCTTTAGCTCTGGGCTGTGGTCTGGGAATTATTATAGTATAATATGACTCTTTGTTTTTGACTTTTCAGAGGCTTTGCGTGCCACCTTTAGTATGCTCCATTTTGAGATAGTGCAGTACAAAGACTTCACAGCGAAGAAAATCTGTGAGGCTCTGGAAGTCTACCAAAGCAAGGACCACAATAACAAAGACTGCTTCATCTGCTGCATCCTTTCCCATGGAGACAAGGGCATCATCTACGGCTCTGATGGGCAGGAAGCCCCCATCCACGAGCTGACTTCTTACTTCACTAGTTCAAAGTGCCCTTCCCTTGCAGGCAAACCGAAAATCTTTTTCATTCAGGCTTGTCAAGGGGATAACTACCAGAGAGGTATAGCTGTAGAGACTGACTCAGAAGAAAAGGAAGACTATTTAGAAATGGACTTAACACTTCAGAAGAGATATATTCCAGATGAGGCTGACTTTCTGCTGGGAATGGCCACTGTGAACAATTGTGTTTCCTACCGAAACCCAATGGAGGGGACCTGGTATATCCAGTCACTTTGCCAGAGTCTGAGAGAAAGATGTCCCAGGTAATTCTTGTCTATCAAACCCTTTATTCATCCATAAATGTCTAGCTGTGGATCGTATAGCTGTACTTCCCAGGTCAGCTGCCAAGTGGGAGAGAGGACAAATCTTGAGTTTACAGATAGAAAAAAGTGAGATACTTACTTAGGAGTTTCCTTTTTTTAACACCTCAAAGGACAATCAGGGTATCATGTTGCTAGGAAGGATAGTGAAGTCATATAGTCCAGCTCTGTATTTAGGCAGAAGCGTAACTGTGACCATTCAACTGAAAAACTTCCAAGAAGGTTTTCAAAAAGGTATAACCCATTTCAACATTTGACATTCTCTAACCCTGTCAAAAGTTCTATAACAGCTAACCATCTTCAAATCTTCTTGGTGTATTGTGAGAGAAAAATACTGAAGAGTAGAAACTCTTTATAGGTTTACTTATCTGGCCTGCTCTGAACCCACAAAATGTAGGAAAATATCATTTTCTCATTTAAATTTCTTGTGTTTCCTTTAGTTAAATGATGGTTTTGTGAGTCACAGTTCACCCAAGTGCGCACACAACTGACAGACAGGAAGCAATCTTCTGCAGGTTCCTTCTAGTTCTATATATATCAGTATGTTTTAGTGTATGAAGAGTGAGAATTTTCCATGGCAGATAAAGGAGTGAACCATGATTTCAACACCATGTTTTCATTTGGTGGTTCAGACCGTGAATCCTGCAATGTTCAGGGGGCTATTTGCAGAGGTGGATAAATAGGTTGCCCAACTAAACTGATTAGAGGCTGGTGAGAGAGAAGTAAGGTGACTGTAGGAGACATTTGATTTTCACTTGCCTGAAGTTTGATTACATCATAGATGAACCCACAGAAGCAATGTCAATTTGGGGCAGAGGATGTTACAGATCATTGAGGTGATCATGAATGTTGGTAACAGTACATGGAGTATAGTGAGTACAGACTGGGAAGGGAAGAAACCAAATCGGATGTTAACACTGAGGTTTCTGATGGTCTTTAGCGATCCTGAGTAAACCAAAGATAAGTTATTGAGCTCTGAGATAACTCCTTATTGAAAAGCTGTGGTAAGTATTGGTTTAGCAACTTATCACTTCAAATGCCTGATGTTTTGAGAGCAGTAACTGTCATAAGCACAGCGGGTAAAAGGGTTTACCAGTTGTTTTCCTAATAGATGGTCACAATGTTATGTTTTTCAGGGGTGATGATATTCTCACCATCCTCACAGAGGTGAACTTTGAAGTGAGCAATAAAGATGACAAGAAAAATATGGGAAAGCAGATGCCTCAACCCACTTTCACTCTGACAAAAAAACTCTTCTTCCCTCTTAATTGATGTATAACACTATGCTTAATATTTTATTAAAATGCTGCTGTTATGCGTCTACTTTATCTATTGTTTACTTGCATAACACTATGCTTAATTTAAACTAATATTACAATCCCTTGTCCCAACTCTTTGATGGCAGGAAGGGGAGAGAATGGGAGTAAAGACAATTTAATTTGTATGCAAATCAAGCCCAAATATCTGGCTTTGTAACACTAGCTAGATATTTATAGCCACAGTCATAATTTTAGTTGTACTTTTAATTTGATAAAAAAACTATAGTAGATACAAAAAGTATATAGTAAGTTTAAAAGGAGAGTAACATCATATATAATGGTTCAAAAACAGTGACAGATGTATTTCACGTCTCTCATCTGCTTTCAACCCATAATCATTCAATTAATTCCCTTCAAATTGTTAATTATTTTTTGTTTTGTTCTTTACTTTCAGTCCCTCTCTTTCCAAGCCATCCTTCACACTACTTTACAAGTTCAAGAAAAAAAGACTTTTCCTTTTTATTCATCATGGTTTTTGGCTTATCTGTTAATTAAATTGGCATAAGATAAATTAACAGAAGAAAAATTAAGTTAACTTTCATACATATAGGATAGCAGAGAAATCTGAGACACAAAGAAATGATTAAATCAGGCAGATTTTATTTTTAGACAGTGTAACAATAAATTTGTGAAGAATTTACAAGACAAAGAAATTTGGCTTCCAATAGTAAATTAGAAAAGAAGCAGCAAGTTTTGTTTACAAAGCCTTCCCCATATTCCTTATCTCTGGCAATACAGTGGCTTTTGCCCTGTTGGCACAGGGAGGGTGCTTTTCACGAGGAAGATTTATTTTCAGCTTTCAGAGGAATAAAACAGGATTAGAGTGTCCATCTTGCACTAACTTTCTCAAGTAACTTTAATTTAAAATAATCAATATTCCCTGAACCCCACTGAAAGTTGCTTTAAAATACAAATTGAAGATTATTTCTTACATTAAAAGCTTTAATGTAAGAAATTCTTAATTAAAATAAAAATGTTTTTACAAATTTACTATAATCTTTTTCCAAACTCCCTTTTCAGCCTTTTCTCTTATTGCTCTTGTAATATATGCATGTTTCTGTAATGTTTGATTTTCTTTTTTGCTAGTAATGCTGTCCTTCTTCCGAGCTTTTAAATTTGTAATTTATATCTTTAGTTTACTTGAAATCTTTTTAATAAAATATAATTTAATCTTACTGCTCCTTGGATGTTGTTTCGCTTATTTTCTTTTTAGCTCATGCATCTCACAGGTAGAAAATATCTAAATCACAGTTATTTCACTTGAGCCTCCCAATGTTGACTCACACAGTTGTATTTTTTAAGAAATGGTTGTTCATATTTACAAATTGGGAGATTTCACATAAAAACCAGAATACTTTCTTTTGAAAAACTTAAATATTTTGACCACGTTGACCCCATGCTCCTGTATGGCAGCAATGGAATGAGTTCTCACTGCCCCTGACACCCCAATCTCCTCTACTGAAGCTGCTGCCAGTTACTGATTATCAGTGTGTTTGTGGGATTGTTTTCCCACATGCCCAGCCCACTTCACTTATTTATGTTGCCTATCCTGTGGGCACTTGAATTCTAACAATGGTTTGGAGAAGGTGAGAATCATCAGAAACTCTTCCTAAATCATAGTTTAGGAAACATGATTGGGAGGTAGGAGAGTGGGGAACACATGTAAAAAAGAAAGATTTTTGTAATCAAACCAATTAATTCTTTCTTCCTAGCTAAATGCCCCAGGGGGGCAAAAGGTATAGTCCAAAATACAGTCAACATTTAACAGGAAGAAAATGTTCAGATCAGTGTCTTCACAAAGAAATATGTAAAAATAGAAGAGAAAATTGTACACCCAGAGAATGCTCAGCTCTAGGTATAGAGAACATCACTTTTCACAATGAAGAATCATGAAAAATCTATGTAGTTGTGAGGAGAATCAAAACAGTCCCAAACACTCAGAGGAAAGCAAACAGTGAAAAGACTGAAGTAGAATCAAGGCAACCCCAAACCAAACTCATCATATGTGTTTCTCAAGAAAACCTTACATGAGTCCTCTAGACTTACAGAGATAGTATTCCTACCATCTCCGATGATGGAGAACAACTTTTCTGCTCATAATTCTTATCTTTTGTTGCCACTATCTTCCACAGTCTCCGAATCATCCTCATAAATAGTAGTAAAGGTTGATCTTCCAGATTGTTCTTCATACATTTCTTCATTCTTGTCAATTATCTTTTGCCTTATAAAGAAAGAGAAGATGTATCACTATAGGCTCTAAGGGTAGAAAGGGGTGTGAGAGAGAAATGTGGGTTCATTCTTTCACTGGAGGCAGTTTCACTCATTACTTGTAGTGGCTTTGATTTCAGTGAAATATGATATTTGGGTGACCAAATGCCTGTATGAGGAATTTTTCTACTAAATCAACACAATGAATAACTTTTCTTTATCAAAGTATTGACCAAAATTTAGTTTAGTGATTTATATGCATCTTCAGGTAGCAGTGTAACTTCTGACCTGAAGACAGTTTCCACAGGAAGCAAATGCAGCTGCCTCTAAGGGTAAACCCCGAATACCCAAACCCCTGCACCCTCAGGGGAGATGGATTTAAAAATAACCTTCAGTCCCAAAACTGAATACACTTAGAGATTCTCAGATAAATCTCACATGTCATTTCATATAAAAACTAAGATGTAGGTAAGGAGAGGAGTCTAGACACATTACTAGTACCATTTCAAATGAACTGTTCTGCCATGGCAGGTAAATACCGTGACCAGGCTCACAGAGAATATCTTCCTCCCAGAAGTGGCTTTGCCTGGGTTCACCTTCACCTCTTCCTCATCCCAACTCCCTCTCACTTCCTAAAGACAAGTGAGTCATGTTTTTGTGAATCATTCACACCTCAGATCAATGTTTTCCTGTGTCAGGAGCTGTATGGTATGTTTAAACTTCTCTTCAGATTCGACAAGCTTGGTCTGGAGTGTTTTCTCCAGATTTCCCACCACAGCTTTCTGAAAGACATGTAAATTTTAATAGCTACCTTTCCCAAACAAGAGCTGTATGGCAGAGCTGCACAGAGGTCTGGGATCCTTCCACGATCTCCCAACCCATTCCAGCCAGGACTCACCTCTCTCTGGAGTTCTATCTGGGTTTGGTAGAGGGTTGTGTTAAGAGATTCTAGGATACTAGCTTGAGCAAGCAACTCTTCCTCTATAATCTGTGTAAGAAGAAATAGTTTTGGGATATCATGATGGTATCTACCCATTCTCTTCTTTAGGTACCTGGGCTAGAATGAGAAGCATTAACTCTAGCTACTCCTCCTCCTGCATCACGGAGTCACTGTGCCCTGTGACTTCTCTCCACTCTATGTCTCACCCATCTATGCATACCCTCCTCTATAACCTCACTGCCACTGCCCCAGAGCCGGTCCCCACTGGAGCGCACATGGGTTATCACAAAAACTACCAATCATTCATTTATTAAATAAGTATTAATTAAATATCTACTATGGATCCCAAATATATGACATTCTGGAAAAGGCAAAACTATAGAAACAGTAAAAAAGATCAGTGGTTACCAAGAGTTGGGAGGGGCAGCGAAGGATGTATAAGGTAGAGAACAGAAGAATTTTAGATCAGAGGAACCCTGTAGAATGTAAAACAAAAAGAATGAACCCTAGTCTAAACTATGAATTTTAGTTAAAAATTATATATTAATATAGTTAATAATTATAGCTGATAATTATAGTTTATCAGCTATAACAAATGTACCACACCAAATGCAAGATATTAATAGCTATGTGGAGGTGGGGAGTATATGGGAAATCACTGTACCTTCTGCTTAATTTTTCTGCAAACTTAATAGTGCTCTAAAGAATAGGCTGTTAATTAGGGAAAAAACCTTCCTTCTGTATTAGGCACTAGGAATATTATGATGAACAAGATAAATATAACTCCCACTCTCATGGAGACATATTCTAGTGAGGGAAATATTAAAAAATTAAATAAAAGTAAACAAAATAGTTACAATAGAGGACTTCCACCAAGATGGAGGCATAGGTGGGTGTGCCGTGCCTTCTCACACAACCAAGTTTAGAGACGACTAAATATTAGCAATAGAAAACACAGCCAGAACACGGAAAATTGAACTTTTTGGAAGTCTGTTAACAACAAATTCTGCAGCCTGACCGGTAAGGGGCGAAACCAGCGGCTGGTGAAGCGGGATTGCACAGGTCTCAGTCAGACGGACTCAGGTGCGGAATCCAGACGCACGGAATCCAGGCGCAGGGTTGGACCTAGTGAGCGACCGAGCGAGCAACCGAGGGGGAGACAGCGGGGGAGCGGTGCTGCGTGTTGACTGTGGTCGCACATTTGTGTGCGAGCAGACAGGCGAGGGAGTGGGCGGTTGGACCGGGCCCGGCGGGTCCCCGCGGCAAGCGGCAGTGGAGGGCGCCGCCATTTCCCTGCTCTGACCCCACCTCCACATACAGCGTCATAACCCAGCGACTCTGAGTGGCCTGGCCCAGGTGAACCACCTAAGGCACTGCTCCTTACCCAGCTGTGAGAAACAGCTGAGGGCGTCGCCATTTCCCCGCTCTGACCACACCCCCACATACAGCGTCACAAACCAGCGACCTGGGAGTCCAAGGTGCTGCTTCTCACACTTAAAGGGCACGAACAGACCAAAAATGTCACAAGAAGATCTCAAAGCCCCAGAGCCCATAGATCTAAGTGATGAAGAAATAGCAAAACTCTCAGACGCACAGTTTAAAACACTGGTCATCAGGATCCTTACAGAACTGGTTGATTATACCCACAAATTAGACAAATATATGAAGGCGAAACTAATTGAAATTAATGGAATTGCACAGGACACCAATAGCAATGAAAAGGAACTGGGACTTGAATCAATGGAGTGGACCAGAAGAAAGCAAATAATGGCCAAACAGAAAAGAGTCAAGAAGCAAGAATTCAAAGAAATGAGGAGAGTCTTAGGAACCTCCAGGACATCTTTAAACGCTCCAACATCCGAACTATAGGGGTACCAGAAGGGGGAAAGGCACAGCCACCAGTGGAAAACTTATTTGAACAAATAATAAAGGAGAATTTCCCCAATCTGGCAAAGGAAATAGACTTCCAGGAAATCCAGGAAGCTCAGAGAGTACCACCAAAGAAGTTGGACCCAAGAAGGAACACACCAAGGCACATCATAATTATATTAGCCAAAATTAAAATGAAGGAGAGAATCCTAGAAGCAGCAAGAGCTAAGGGGACAGTCACCTACAAAGGAGTCCCCATCAGACTGTCAGCAGATTTCTCAAAAGAGACCTTCCAGGCAAGAAGGGGCTGGAAAGAGGTATTCCAAGTCATGAAATCCAAAGACCTACAACCAAGATTGCTCTATCCAGCAAAACTTTCACTTAGAATGGAAGGACAGATAAGGTGCTTCTCAGACAAGATCAAATTCAAGGAGTTCATCATCACCAAGCCCTTATTATATGAAATGTTAAAGGAAAAGAAGTTAAAGAAACATGAACAGTGAAAGGACAACAAACTCACAGTTATTAACAACCACACCTAAAACGAAAGCAAACTAAAAGGACAGCTAGATCAGGAGCAGAGACATAGAAATGAAGATCTAAGGAGGGTTAGCAACAGGGGAGTGGGAGGAGGAGAAGGGGGGAGAAGGTACAGAAAATAAGTAGCATAGGCAGTAGATAGAAAATAGAAGGGGGGGCAAGAATACCATGGGAAATATAGAATCTAAAGGACTTGAGACACATGGACATAAACTAAAGGGGGGGGTAATGGTGGGGATAGGGGGGTAGGGTGGAGGGGAATGAAAGGGGGAATAGAACAACTGTAACGGCATAATCAATAAAAAAAATTAAAAAAAATAGTTACAATAGTAAATCAAGAAAAAAACCAAGAATGCAGGTGGAGGACGCAGTGTAAGTGATGGGAAGGCATAAACGTAGGATCTACTTCAGAAAGATGCTGAAGAAACTGTAATGGGGAACCAGATGGGGCTCACGTTTCAGGTGTCACCACATTTAACTCTCACCCATCCTTACAGCTCTACCCATGTAATGAGGCCCCTCCCACTGTGCATAAACTTCAAAAGTACCCCCATTTACTACAACTGCATTGTATAAAGCATGTCATTAAGCAATTTTGTATTTTTTTATTCATTATAAAAATCAGTTGCTATTTATTGAATGTCTGAAATGTGCCAGTTAGTATTCTAGAAACTGGGGATAAGTGGTAAAGAGAACAGACAAAAATCCCTGCCCTCATTGAATTCATCAGGTTAGATGGCTATAAGTCTGTGTGGAAAAATAAAACAGAGAAAATAAAGTGTCAGGTTGTTTGATGGCCCCTGAGAAGGTGGCATGTGAGTGAAGACTGGAAGGAGGTAAGGAAGTTAGCCATGTGGATATCTGGCAAAGAGTGTTCCAAGAAGAGAGAAAACCAAGAGCAAAGATTCCAAAGTAGGAGCATCCTGGCCTGTTAAAGATACAGCAAGAAGTCCAGTGCCACTGGACTGGGATGATAGAGGGGAACAAATCAAAGGGGATGAGGTTGGGGGAAAGAATTGCCAGCATGGAGTAGGTGGAACAAGCCCTAGAACCAACACAGGGTTGGAAGTAGTTTGCATCCCCACCAGCCAGGGCAGGACAAGCCTTCTAAATACACACAATATTGAGAAGATTGCTCAGGAGGGTATCATCTCAGCAGTGAGGAAAAATTAGCCCTAGACTAAAGAATGCTGTAATTTGCCTAAGAAAACACAAAACCCCAAAACTTGAAAAGCTTAAACTGCTTCCAAGTAACTTAACTGAATTTCAAAACAAAGCTCAATGTTATTTAAAGGAATACAAAAATATTCAGCACCCAACAAGTTAAATTTCACAATGGCTAACATTCAATTAAAAATTATCAAATCAAGAAAAAAATCTCATTTGATATAGCAACAAGAAAAATAAAATACCTAGGAATAAACCTAACCAAGAAGGTAAATGACCTGTACTCATAAAACTACACAACACCGAAGAAAGAAATCAAGGTAGACATAAACATATGGAAACATATACTGTGCTCATGGATTGGAAGAATTCACATCATCAAAATGTCCATACTACCCAAAGCAATTTACAGATTCAATGCAATACCTACTAAAGTACCAATGGCATATTTCACAGACATAGAACAAACACTTCAAAAATTTATATGGAATCATAAACAACCCTGAATAGCTGCTGCAATGTTGAGAAAGAAGAGCAAGGTAGGAGGGATCACAATACCTGATACCAAACTGTATTACAAGGCCACTGTAATCAAAACAGCCTGGTACTGGCATAAAAACAGACCAATGGAACAGAACAGAGAGCCCAGAAATAAACCCAAGTCTCTATGGTCAATCAATATTCAACAAAGCAGGCAGCAACATAAAATGGAGTAAAAATAGCCTCTTCAACAAATGGTGTTGGGAGAGCTGGACAGCTACATGCAAAAAATAAAACTCGAGCACCATACACAGAAATAAATTCAAGGTGAATAAGAGATTTAAATATAAGTTGTGACACCATTAAAATCCTAGAGGAGAACATAGGCAGGAAAATTGCAGATATTTCATGCAGCAATATTTTCACTGGTATGTCCCCTAGAGCAAGGAACATAAAGGAAAGAATAAACAAATGGGATCTCATCAAAATAAAAAGCTTCTGTACGATTAAAGAAAACAGTATTAAAATAAAAAGAGAACCCCATATGGGAAAACATTTGCCAATGATACCTCAGACAAGGGTTTAATCTCCAAAATATATAAAGAACTCACACAACTCCACTCTAAGATGACAAGCAACCCAATTAAAAACTGGGCAAAGAACCTGAACAGACACTTCTCTAGGGGGGCATACAGAGGATCCAGAGACACATGAAAAGATGTTCAGTATTGCTAGCTATCAGAGAGATACAAATTAAAACCAAAATGAGGTACTACACCAGTCAGAATAGCCATCATAAACAAAGCAACAAACAACAAGTGTTGGAGAGGTTGTGCAGAAAAGGGAACCCTAGTGCACTGTTGGTGGGTTTGCAGCCTGGTGCAACCACTATGGAAAACAGTATGGAGTGTTCTCAGAAAACTAAAAACGTATCTGTCTTTTGACCCAACAATTCCACTGCTAGGATTATATCCTAAGAACCCCAAAACACCAATCCAAAAGAACCTGTGCACCCCAATGTTCATAGCAGCACAATTTATAACAGCCAAGTGTTGTAAGCAACCTAGGTGCCCATCAGTAAATGGATGGATCCAAAAACTATAGTACATTTACACAATGGAATTCTATGCAGCAGAAGGAAAGAAGGATCTCCTACCCTTTGCAACAGCATGATGGAACTGGAGAGCATTATGCTAAGTGAAATAAGCCAGGCAGTGAAAGAAAAATACTACATGATCTCATCTTTAACAGGAACCTAATTAAAAAAAATGAACAAACAAGCAAAATATAACCAAAGACACTGAAACAGAGAACAGGCTGACAGTGACCAGAGGGGAGAGGGAAGGGAATTTAAGGGAAAGGGGGAAGGATTTACAGGAAGTAGTACAAAGGACACATGGACAAAAACAAGGGGGGTGGAAACGGGAGGGAGGTGGGGAGGGCTGGGGGGTGGGCTAGGATGGGGGTAAAAGGCAGAAAACTGTACTTGAACAGCAATTAAAATAAATTTTAAAAAAGGAAAAATTATCAGGCATGCAAACAAGCAAAAAATTATGACCACAATATTTCTAATCAATCCATAGAAATAGACCTGGAAATGACACAAGTGAGAGAATCAGCAAAGCAGTTATAAGAATACACTGGATCTGGACTTCCAGCAAGATGGAGGTATAGGTGGATGTGCTGTGCCTTCTCACACAACCAAGTTTAGGGACAACTAAATATTAGCAACACAAAACACAGCCAGAACACGGAAAATTGAACTTTTCAGAAGTCCATTAACAACAAATTCTGCAGCCTGACCGGCAAGGGGCGAAACCAGTGGCTGGTGGAGCGGGATTGCACAGGAGGACTCGGTCAGACGGGCTCAGGCGCGGAATCCAGATGCGGAATCCAGGCGCAGGGTTGGACCTAGTGAGCGACCGAGCGAGTGACCAGGCAAGCGACCGCGGAGGAGACAGCGGGGAAGCGGTGCTGCGTGTTGACTGGGGTCGCCTATTTGTGCGAGAGCGGACAGGCGAGGGAGTGGGCGGTTGGACCGGGGCGGGCGTCCCCGCAGCAAGCGGCAGTAGAGGGCGCCGCCATTTCCCCGCTCTGACCACGCCCCCACATACAGTGTCACAACCCAGCGACCTGGGAGTCCTAGGCGCCACTTCTCACACTTAAAGGGCCAGAACAGACCAAAAATGTCGCAAATTCTCAAAATCCCTGAGCCCATAGACCTAAGCGATGAAGAAATAGCAAAACTCTCAGACGCACAGTTTAAAACACTGGTCATCAGGATCCTCACAGAACTGGTTGATTATAGTGACAAATTAGCGAAACATATGAAGGCAAAACTAATTGAAATGAATGGAATTGCACAGGAAACCAACAGCGATGAAAAGGAAACTGGGACTCAAATCAATGGAGTGGACCAGAAGAAAGCAAATAATGGCCAAACAGAAAAGAGTCAAGAAGCAAGAATTCAAAGAAATGAGGAGAGTCTTAGGAACCTCCAGGACATCTTTAAACGCTCCAATATCCGAATTATAGGGGTACCAGAAAGGGGAAAGGCACAGCCACCAGTGGAAAACTTATTTGCACAAATAATAAAGGAAAATTTCCCCAATTTGGCAAAGGAAATAGACTTCCAGGAAATCCAGGAAGCTCAGAGAGTACCAAAGAAGTTGGACCCAAGAAGAAACACACCAAGGCACATCATAATTACATTAGCCAAAATTAAAATGAAGGAGAGAATCCTAGAAGCAGCAAGAGCTAAGGGGACAGTCACCTACAAAGGAGTCCCCATCAGACTGTCAGCAGATTTCTCAAAAGAGACCTTCCAGGCAAGAAGGGGCTGGAAAGAGGTATTCCAAGTCATGAAATCCAAAGACCTACAACCAAGATTGCTCTATCCAGCAAAACTTTCACTTAGAATGGAAGGACAGATAAGGTGCTTCTCAGATAAGATCAAATTCAAGGAGTTCATCATCACCAAGCCCTTATTATATGAAATGTTAAAGGGACTTACCTAAGAAAAAGAAGTTAAAGAAACATGAACAGTGAAAGGACAGCAAACTCACAGTTATTAACAACCACACCTAAAACGAAAGCAAACTAAAAGGACAGCTAGATCAGGAGTGGAGACATAGAAATGAAGATCTCAAGGAGGGTTAGCAACAGGGGGAGTGGGAGGAGGAGAAGGGGGGAGAAGGTACAGAAAATAAGTAGCATAGACAGTAGAAAGAAAATAGATGGGGGGGGACAAGAATAGCATGGGAAATATAGAATCTAAAGGACTGGAGAAACATGGTCATAAACTAAAGGGGGGTAATGGTGGGGATGGGGGGGTAGGGTGGAGGGGAATGAAGGGGGGAATAGAACAACTGTAACAGCATAATCAATTAAAAAAATAAAAATTAAAAAAAGAATACACTGGATCTACCTTGCTCCCAAACCCATTCCTTTACTCTTACCCAACAATACTGAAGCCCTGCATGGATTCTAAGGTATCATTCCATGCTTTTGTAATGGCTAATCATTACCCAAACACGTCCATTCTGGATCCAAACCAAATTCTCAGTGAAAGAAGACCCACAAGACACTTTGTGGATTTGAACAGTTTCCCTTCAGGTGTCTCCCACATGGAAGTCTCAGAAGGAGAAAGTTCCTTGAGGAGGCTGGGGGGTAAGGTACACTCAGTTTTAAGGACAGGATTGGAGTCAGAGTTCCAAGGTGGCAGTATTCTACTTTTCAGAGGTGAAAGGAAAGAATCTGGCATTTTACTATTTAAGACCCTTTTGTGGTTTGAGCCATTCTAGAAATGGAAGACATTTGATATTGAAGATCACACAGTATATTGCTTACATATTTGTTGAAATCAGGCTCTAAAAAGATACCAAATGGCTTTGTTTTACAAATAGTTCTAAAGTTCTTTTTGACTTACTGATTCCAGCAAACTCATCTTTAGCTTTTCTATTTTTTACCAGTTTTGGGGAAATTATTGACTTCATTGATTGAGAGTATATGAGGTCTGTCCAGAAAAGTCCAGTCATTGTTAATATAACAAGAATGGTTTGCATCAATGTAATCTGGCAGCTGAGGAGAGTGACTGGAATGTATATGCATGAACAATGATGATTTCACTGTACTAGTCAGTGGGGGTGATAGACACCTTTGAGTGAGCATGTGTACTGTGTGGCCATTGCATTCATAATGACTGAACTAGTAGAGTGATGAATCTGTATCAAATTTTGCCTTAAGCTTGAACATTCCTCCACAAAAACTATTTGGATGATTCAGAAGGGCACAGTTATAGGCAACTGGTGACTGGCAGCTTCATCATGACGATGTGCCTGCTCATACATCACATCTCCTGCAAAGTTTTTTAGTGAAACATCAAATCACCCAGGTCATTCGGCATCCATATAGCCCAGATTTGGCACCTTGTGACTCTTTTCAAAACTAAAATCGCCTTTGAGAGAGAATAGATTTTAGACCATTGATGTAATTCAGGAAAATATGACGGGGCAGCTGATGGCTGTTGGGAGAACTGTGTGCCTACTTTGAAGGGGACCGAGGTGTCATTGTCCTATGAACAATATTTCTTGTATCTTCTTTAATAAACATCTCTATTTTTCACACTACATGGCTGGAAACCTTCTAGACAGGCCTCATATAATTTTTACTGATGTACTTACAAGATGCTAATTCCACAGAAAAAATGAGAAAGCTTACCTCTTTGGTCTTTTTTAGCTCCTCTAATAGCAAGGTATCCTTTTCATGTTGTTTCAAGAGTTCCTAGAAATAATATTATTTGGAAAGGTCAGTAATGGGGTTCTGGAACTTCTTTCAAAGACTAGGAAAACCAGAATAAAACTGAGAAACATAATATTTACCAAAGTTTAGATATTGGTTTCATGAAGCACATGTTATAAACTAATGACATCACATGTTGATCTTAAATAATGGAAATCTCACTCATGTTCAACATTAATGCACTGACAAATATTAAAAAATATTTTCATCAAAGGCTCTTCTCACCTGTACAAAAATTTAATACTGTTAAATATATAATTCTCCAAAAATTGAACTTTATATTTGATGTAGTTCCAGACAAAATACCTTTGTCTGGCAGGCTTTCTTGACAAGATAATTCTAAAATTTATATAGAAATACAAAGAATATAGAAAAGCCAAAATAACCTTGAAAAACAAGAGCAAAGTTAGCATATTTTTACTAGCTACAGTAAAAATCTTGACTTCAAGCTACAGTAATTAAGACAATGTGGTGTTGGCTTAATTAAGGGTAAATAGTTGAATAGAATGGAGAGTCCACCCCGCCCCTTCCCAAGTATAACAAAGACACAAAGGCAACTCAATGGAAAAAGAAAAGTGTTTTTTGTTTTTTTTTTCAGCAAATCACTGTGGAACAACTGGGTGTCATTCTGGAAAAAAATAATCTATGACCTTTATGTTACGTACAAAAATTATTTAAAATGGATCATAGAATCATGGAAGCTAAAATTATAAAGCTTTTTCCTTGGAATAGGCAACAATTTCATAAAGAAGACACAAAAAGCTGTAGCCATAAAAGAAAAACTTGATAAGTTGACTGTTATTAAAATTTAAAACTTCTGCTCATTGAAAGAGGAGATGAGCAAAATGAAAAGGTACTTGTACAGAACATTTATAACCACAGGCTGGAAGACAGAATTTGGAACACATATATTTGACAAAAAAATTTGTATCCAAAGTACAAAAAGTACCCCTACATATCAATAATAAATATATAAATAACCCATTTTTTAAATGGCAAAAGATTTGACACAATGGTTCATAAAAGAAGACACATATATGGTCCAATAGGCATATAAATAATTGTCCCAACACATTTAGTCATTGGGGAAACCAACACTGTAATGAAATACCACTTCATAACCATTGGAATGGTCAAAATGAAAAGATTATCAATGCCAGCTGTTGTCAATGATATGGAGTACCTGGAATGCTCATATATTTAAGATGCAAGAGTGAAATGGTACAACTATAGTTGAAAATAGTTTGGTAATGTCTCATAAAGTTAAACTTATAACTACCCTAGATCCCAGTAATAGCACTCCTAGGTATATACAAGAGAAATGAAAGCACATACCTACAAAAGCACTTTACAGGATATTTGTAGAAGCTTTATAAAAGTCAAAAAATGGAAACAACCAAAATCTCCCCCAAGAGGAAAATGGTAAATGCATTGTGTGATACTCCTAGAAAGGAATACCACTGAGCAATAAAAAGGAAGAAATAACTGATATGAATAACAGATTAATAAATTTCACAGGCATTATATTGAGGATAAAGAAGCTGTACACAAAAGAGCATATACTGTATGATTCCATTCATATAAAGTTTAAAATAAGAAAAGATAATCTCTGGTGGTAGGAATCAAAAGAGTAGTTGGCTTGGGGGCAAGTCTTAAGAGAGACAGGGATTAACTGGAAAGGAACACTGGAGTGCTTTCTTGATTTGGGTGTTAGTTACATGAATATATAACTCATCGAAATGTACATTTAATATCTGTGCATTTTGTAAGTGTAAATCATATATATGAGAGAGAGAGAAAAAGAGAACACCCACTTACAGATTCATGGTCAGTGTCATTACAGGAAGAAGAGATGCTCACAGATGATAAAATCTCTTCCCACTAAGAGGAACTGCTACTGCTTGTTCAGACATCTGAGCTCTCTAGACCCTAGAAGCACTACTGCAGAGCACACCCCATCTCCTCATTATTGTTTTGCTCAGTAATATAGTGAATGTCATACATGGGCTCTTATTGGTGAAATTAGTGGCTTTTCAGTTGGCATGGCAATTTGAAATAGGCTCTTAAACATGGAATATTCAATACCTAACACAGTTTAGAGACACTCTCCTCTCCACTTTGCATGAAATGGGTACAACAATCTAACAAGCCTGTAGCTTATACACTTAGGAGTGGAGTCTCAGACTTGACTCCCAAATGACTCCCTTGACTCCGTGTCCTGCTGAGGAGGGGCTCTGGTTGCCTGATGCTGACTACAATGGTTACAGAATAATCACTGGAACCTACTTCTGTAATACCATCACATACACCTATGATGAATCTTTCATGCACCCAGTAACTCGGAGAACTGTGACATAACTGCTTGGACCTGCTGGCAAACGTGTGTTTGTATAGTAAACGCGCACATGTCTGAGATCTGCTTTCATTATAACCTGCTATCAGTGTCAAGGTTGCAGTGGAGTGACTCACGGGAACAGCTAACCCTCACACCTTCTAACTTTTAGGTAGCTGCCCTTATTTACTAAGAGTTTTACATGATCGAATTTGCTTAGTTTAATTTGCAACAGTACCCTTTCTCTTTAGCCATAGTCAAGAATGAAAAGAACATTCATGGACTAGGATTTTGGCAAAATAGGGAATTTTAACTTCTATGTTTCACATTCTATTATTTCTTGTTAATTATAATTTTCATTCAAATAACCCTGTGGCATGGCTATCTAGATAAAGGACAGCAAGACCATCAATCTACTTGCATATTTTCTATGGAAGCTGGGAAAGGAGAAATATTCCTGGAAAGACAAAAGCTTGCCTAATCACAGGGGCACACCTAGGAACCAGATGTCCCACCAAGACTACACATTCAACCATGATGGGTTTTGGGCTGAGTTACCTCCTTCTCTCGATTGAGGTTCTCAAAGACAGCACTGTAGGAATCACTTATTTTCTTCTTTTCTTCTTCTGACTCTAGCTCAAACTTTTTTGTCATCTTATTTTCTGTGGAGGTGAGAAGAAATCACATAGAGGTGTAAATGTGGAAAAAAATAGATGCAGAGAGAAAACCAACATATCTATATATAATAGAAAGTCTGGACTGGGTCAAAGCCAAGGTGCGTTCAGCCCGGTGTTTAGGCTGATGCTCACCTGCAGAGACTCCTGAGTGAGGCCGCCGTGGTGCCGGCTCTCAGTCACATCAGCTGTGTGAGATTTGTCTCTAATGTGTCTTGTTCTTTTTGTATAGTTCATTTTAGATCCGAAGGACCTATAGTTTATTTAGACTGTTGCTTATTATTTTGTGTATTCTCTCTGCTGAAGTAACCACTATGCTTTCTTGAATATCTTATCTCCAAGTACAGCTCTATGACTTTTCCAGCCATAAAATGTATTCTGTACTTAGCTCTGGGTTAGAGATAGGCTTAAAATGGTTTGGCAGAGGGGAGGTGGTTGGTGGGGGGAGTGAACCTGTCAGCAGAGACCCAATCTACACTGAACAGGAGGAACAAGAAATGAGAGGCTAACACAAATTTCTTCTTCAGCATTACGGTGCTGGGGATGGATAAGAAGTTAACTCCTGGCCTCACAGGAAAGTCTGGATTGAGCTACACTCTGAGCAGCCTAGGCTGGTCTTCCAAAACTGGTTGTTACATCTTTACTTGGACTTTGACAACATGGGATGATGTAATATGAGTAGCTAGGGGTGCAGGAGGGCTATGCTACACCAGGATTCCAGGCAAAGCCTCAAATAGGAGCAGCTGCACATTTCATTCCCAGCCTTAACTCTGGGTCTTCATGCTCACTTCTAGTGGTCCAGCATCCCTAGCAGGGTAAGAATGGCCTTAAGAATGAACTTTCCCAGGCAGTATCTGTATTTAAATGAGTAATTTGTTAAAGCCAACTAAATTTGATATGAATTACTTTGGGGTAGGATGTGCAATGTTTGTAGAGGCCCCACTCCTACCTCAACTAGTCCTTCAGACTAGGGAAGAGTCTCCACAAAGTCCTCTCTTCCTTTTCCATTTATGGAGATGCTCAGTTGAGTAGAAGGCTCACCTACCTACACAGCACTTTGTATGATCCCAACTCTCTGCTAAGTATTGGAAATATTAAAAATATATAGCAATATATAAATGCATCAAATCAATATATTATATACTTTAAACATATACAATGTTATATGTCAATTATATCTCAATTTAATATATATTTATATCCATATATATGTACCAAACATGGCTTACTTAGGGGTGGGTGAAATATAGAATACAATTCAGTACAATGGATTGTATTGCCCCTCCTCCAACAACTGAATATTTAAAACCTAATTTAAGAACTTTTTTCCTGGAACTTTTGGATCAACCTGTATCTAGATAATAAGCCCTCATTCTTACAGGTGTCCCAAAGCCTGTTCCAGCCTATTATGGTCAAACTTGGAATCGGTGAGTTTTGGAAGATACAGGCTTAGAACCTCAGTTGGCTGAACTTCATAAAATACTACATTCTTGTGTCACTTTCTTGAGAACTCCAGGCACCTACCCTTCAGGAGTCTAGCTATTCGGCTCATACTATTAGTGAATCCATGGCTACCTTCCTTGAGTCGAGATTAAGCTTAATGGCAGTTTTTTGGTGTACCTATCATCAAGAAGTCAGAAGTACTCACTTTGCTGTAGTAGGACCTTTTCCTGCTCCAACTTCTTATCCTTCTCCCATTCTGCCTTCTTCCTTGACCACTTATCTTCCATTTCATCATAAATGCTGTCCTGTGGAGGCACAAAGGACTCATGTAGAAAAGGCCCCTGAAAAAGACTGCCAAGGCATAACACTGGGCCCTTTGCAGCCTTATTCACCTGGGACCCTTCCTGGGGTGGGTGGGGAGGGGCAGTGCAGGGTCCTATATGGGTGACTGGTGAAAGTAAATTCCAGCCCAGCCGTCTGAGAGCTAGAGAACCTCCAAGTCGGACACATGGTGTTTGCCCACCGGGACTGGGCTTTCTTTCAAAACGGGTAGGGTTCCCCATGTTGAGGATTCACATGTCAACTCCCTCTGAATTATGCATAAATCACTCATAAATAGCACATGAAAAACAAGGGAAATTACTAGAAGTTAATTTGAACATTTAGAAAACAATAGGATGTTTTTCAGAGTGTCCATTTCCCTCAGCAAATGTAACTTCCTTTGTGGTTGAAGTTAAATAAGCCTAACCAGATGTCAGCCCCTCCGGGCTGGCTCAGACTTCCTGGTGGTGGGACCTCAGGAGGGGAAAGGCCCAGGCCCCAGATACTGTCAATAAGGTTTCAGAATATTGACTCCAGGATGCTAGGAATCTAATGAAATTGTTTTCTGGGCCAGAGTTCTAGATTCATCCCAACATCATCAAGCAAGAGAAGGAGCCTTGCTTCTCTTACTTTCATAATCCAACAAGAAGCTCTGAATCTCACCTGATACATAAGAAACATAGTCTTCAAATACTTGTATTCCTTTTCCATTTCCTCTGGACAAAAGGAAAACAACAGCATCATCCTACTGTTCTGAAATGCACACTTTCAAATTCAAATGTGAGCTCTCTCACATATTCTCCCCACTTCAAACTCATCCCTTAGGAGATAAAATCACGGTGTGCCTCAAGAATCACTCTGGAAGCTTACTAGAAACTCAGATGCCTGGACATATCCCCACCCCTTCCCCCAACCTACTGAATTGAGCTCTCAGAGGAGAGGTCCAGTATCCGTTGATAATATGCTCAGGCATTATGATGGACACCAAGTCAGAGAACTAAGCCCTAGGGTAAACCCGAATCTTTGGGAAAAGAGAAATGAAATCTTATAGCACACACCTGCCTCTCTCTTTATAAAATAAAATTTCTGAGTGTACTTTGATTTCAAAAACAATGCGTGATCTCTTTTAAAAACCAGAAAGTCAGCAAGGTATAAATACCATCTTTTTAAAAATGAAAGGCAATAGAGAGAAAATTATAAAATTTCTCCTTCTCTCTGTTGGAGATTAGTCTATAAACCCAGAATTCTGAAGAAGACACACTTTCTTCTTCTCAAGGGCAGCACAGACAATGGGATAAACGGCTAACGCAAGTTATAGTGTATCAGTTAGGATTTAACGAAACATCACTTGCATGTGATGAAACTTGCTGAATTAGAATAGTATTATATTCACAGAACTTTAAATATACTTTAAGAAGTGCCTTCTCGTTCTGATAATGGCAAGTACTATTGTTCTCATTTCCCAGATGGGGAAACTGAGACTTGATATTAAACAACTTGCTTGTATCTCAAAACTTGGTCACAGGTCTTTCCATCTTCCAGGTGTAGGAAGGACATTGGTAGACATGGCTTCCCTCTTTTCAGTTTCCTTCTCAATCACTCTTTCCCTGAGCTTCAGGAGGAAAGTCCAGCTATAGCCCATCTGTGGCCACGAGAGTTCCTCAGCCCTAGACCCACATGGTCAGCATCCTGCCCCTTCACCACCGTCATTCTTCCAGGTCCTGAACGTACCTAGTTTTTCCTGGGCAGCCAACTTCTCTGCTTTTAAGGCTGCTTTGTAGTTGTTCTCCAACTCCTTGAGTTCTACTGCGTGAGCCTCTTTGAGCTCCCTGTGGGACCACAGGAGAAGGCCATGGTCATCAGTGAAAAGAAGTCCAGAGTTGAGCTGTTATATTCACCTGAGCCCATCTCTCCTCCCTCACACAGGAAGCCAGTGGGCAGGCTGGGAGACCTTCACTTTTTGATGCATACTTTTGGCATTTATCCACAGAAGAGGGGGAAGGACTCTTGTTTTCCCCCAAAACAATTCTGAATGGAGCCTAAGAACACAGCATTGAAACTGTGAGCTGCACTTGCTCCTAAGGTGAGTGTTGAAATGAACGGTTATATGAGTTGTCCAGCCAAGAAAAGACATGGTAGAAACTTAAATGAATATTATTAAGTGAATGAAGCCAATGTGAAAAGGCTTCCAGTGTATGATTCCAACTATCTGTCATTCTGGAAAATGCAAAACTATGGTGACGGTCAAAACAGCAGTGCAGTGGTTGCCAGGAGTTAGAGGGGAGAGAGGGATAAACAGACAGATCACAGAGGATTTTTAGGGCAGCAAAACTATTCTGTATGATACAATAATGGTGGATACATGTAAGTACACATTTGTCAAAACCCACAGAATGTGCCTGGGCAGGATGGTAGCTCAGTTAGTAAGAGCATCGTCTCAATACTCCAAAATTGTGGGTTTGATCCCTGGTCAGGGCACATGCAAGAAACAACCAATGAATGCATAAATACGTGGAACAACAAATTGATGTCTCTTTCTGCTTCTGTTTCTTTCTCTCTCTCCCCACCCTCTCTCCCTCTCCTACATCTCTAAAAAATCAATCAATAAAAAAAATTTTTAAACGCAGCCAAGATGGAAGCACAGGTAGATACACTTTGCCTCCACACACAACCAAAAGAAGGACAACAAATTTTATTTTTTATTTTTTAAATATATTTTATTGATTATGCCATTACAGTTGTTCTATTCCCCCCTTCATTCCCCTCCACCCTGCACACCCCTCCCCCCACCACTCCCCTGCTTTAGTTTATGACCACGTGTCTCAAGTTCTTTAGATTCTGTATTTACCCTACTATTCTTGCCCTCCCCGTATCTATTTTCTACCTACCGTCTATGCTACTTATTTTCTGTACCTTCTCCCCACTTCTCCTTCTCCTACTCCCCTGTTGCTAACCCTCCATGTGATCTTCATTTCTATGTTTCTGCTCCTGATCTAGCTGTCCTCTTAGTTTGAGGTGTGGTTCTTTTTTTTTTTTTTAAGATTTTATTTATTTATCTTTAAAGGGGAATGGAAGGAGAGAGGGAGAAAAACATCAATGTATGGTTGCCTTTAGTGGCAACCTGCTGGGAACTGGCCTGCAGGGAACTGGCCTGCAACCCCAGCATGTGCCCTGACTGGGAATCGAACTGCAAGTGTCTGGTTCACAGGCCCGTGCTCAATCCACTGAGCTACACCAGCCAGGACCCTGAGTTGTGGTTCTTAATAACTGTGAGTTTGCTGTCCTTTCACTGTTCATCTTTTTTATCTTCTTTTTCTTAGGTAAGTCCCTTTAACATTTCATATAATAAGGGCTTGGTGATGATGAATAATAATGGCTTGGTGATGATGAACTCCTTGAACTTGATCTTATCTGAGAAGCACTTTATCTGTCCTTCCATTTTAAATGAAAACTTTGCTGGATAGAGCAATCTTGGTTGTAGGTCTTTGGTTTTCATGACTTGGAATACTTCTTTCCAGCCCCTTCTTGCCTATAAGGTCTTTTTTGAGAAATCAGCTGACAGTCTGATGGGAACTCCTTTGTAGGTGATTGTCCCCTTATCTCTTGCTGCTTCTAGGATTCTCTCCTTCATTTTAATCTTGGTTAATGTAACTATGATGTGCCTTGGTGTGTTCCTTCTTGGGTCCAACTTCTTTGGGACTCTCTGAGCTTCCTGGATTTCCTGGAAGTCTATTTCCTTTGCCAGAATGGGGAAATTCTCCTTTATTATTTGTTCAAATAAGGTTTCCACTTGTGGCTGTTCCTCTTCTTCTGGTACCCCTATAATTCAGATGTTGGAGCATTTAAAGATGTCCTGGTGGTTCCTTAGCCTGTCCTCATTTTTTTGAATTCTTGTTTCTTCATATTTTTCTGTTTGGTCATTTTTTTCTTCCTTCTGGTCCACTCCCTTGATTTGAGTCCCAGTTTCCTTTCCATCACTATTGGTTTCCTGTGCATTTCCCTTCATTTCAATTAGTTTAGCCTTCATATGTTCCTCTAATTTGTGGCTAAAATCAACCAGTTCTGTTAGCATCCTGATCACCAGTGTTTTGAACTGTGCCTCTGATAGGTTGGCAATTTCTTGTTCACTTAGATTTATGGGCTCTGGGGCTCTGAGTTGTTCTTGAGCCATGTTTTGATCGGTTCGCGCCTGTTACATATGAGGAGGGGAGCCTTAGTTGTTCACCAGGGTGGGGCCACCCAGGTCGCTGGTTTGTGACACTGTATGTGGGGGCGGGGTCAGAGAGGGAGCAATAGCAGTCCCCTCTGCTCCTTCCTGCTGCTGGGGCCTGCCCAGTCTGTCTCACTGCTCGCTCATTTGCTGGTTTAACTGCGAGCAAATGTGTGACCAAGGTCAGCCAGTTGCCTTGCATCTTCACTGGGTCTGCCCGTCGCTACCCCACACCTGGGATTCGCCTTTGGCTGCCTGGGTCCGGGGATCTTTTTTGCCTGACCCGCTCTGCTGCTGGCTCTGCCCCTCTTACCAGTCTAGCTGAGAGGTTTGTTGTTGTCAGACTCCTTATTGTTCAATTTTCTGTGGTTTGGCTGCGTTTACTGTTGCTAAAACTTTATTGTTTTTAGATTTTGTTGTGCGAGAAGGCAAAGTGTTTCCACCTATGCCTCCATCTTGGTGGAAGTCCAGGACAACAAATTTTAAAACAAAAAATAACCAGAGCTGCCAGAAAATCAAACAGTATGGAAGTGTGATGACCAATTAAAGAAACATTCATACAGACCAGTAAAAGGGGTGGAGACAGGCAGCTGGGCAACTGATGGCTGGAGGACTGGAGCAGGCAAGGCGGTGGCTGGCAGAACGGGCAGTCCCACAATTGGGTGCAGATAAATCAGGAGGAAAAACTGGGGAGTGAGACAGAGTACACAACCTGGGGTTTCAGTGTGGAGAAATAAAGCCTCAAAACCTCTGACTGAAAACACCTGTGGGGTTGAGGCGGCAGGAGAAACTCCCAGCCTCACAGGAGAGTTCGTTGAAGAGACACACAGGGTCCTAGAAGATACACAAACCCACTCACATAGGAATCAGCATCAGAAGGGCCCAATTTGCTTGTGGATAATGAAGGAAGTGACTGAAAACCAGAAGGAGAGATGAGCAAGCAGCATTGTGCCCTCTCAGCCCCTCCCCCACATATGCAGTGACCTGAGTTGCCCCACCCTGTCAAATACCTAAGGTTCTGCCCCTTACTACATAACAAGTGCGCCGAGACAGATAAATATGGCCCAAACGAAAGAAGAGATCAAAGCTCCAGGAAAAATACAACTCAGAGATGAAGAGATAGCCAACCTATCAGAGGCACAGTTCAAAACACTGGTAATCAGGATGCTCAAAGAAATGGTTGAGTATGGTGCAAAATAGAGGAAAGAGTGAAGGCTATAAAAAGTGAAATAAAGGAAAATATACAGGGAACCAACAGTGAAGAGAAGGAAACTGGGACTCAAATCAATGATTTGGAGCAAAAGAAAGAAATAAACATTCAACTGGAACAGAATGAAGAAACAAGAATTCTAAAAAATGAGGAGAGACTTAGGAACCTCCAGGACAACTTTAAACATTCCAACATCTGAATCATAGGGGTGCCAGAAGGACAAGAGGAAGAGCAAGAAATTGAAAATTTATTGGAAAATATAATGAAGGAGAACTTCCCTAATCTGACAAAGGAAATAGACTACCAGGAAGTACAGGAAGCTCACAGAGACCCAAAGAAGTTGGGCCCAAGGAAGCACACACCAAGGCACATCATAGTCACATTACCCAACATTAAAGATAAGGAGAGAATCTTTTTGTTTGTTTTTATTTTAATTTTATTTAGTTATTTTTCAAGTACAGTTTTTTGTCTATTTCTCCCATCCCAGCCCCCCCCCCCCATGCTCCCCACCTCCCTCCCATTTCCACCCCCCTTAGTTCTCGTCCCTGTGTCCTTCCTATTTGTTCCTCCAAATCCCTCCCCTTTTTTCCCCTTAAATTCCCTTCCCTCTCCCCTCTGGTCACTGTCAGCCTGTTCTCTATTTCAGTGTCTTTGTTTTTATTCTGCTTGCTTGTTTGTTTGTTGTTTAGCTTCCTGTTAAAGGTGAGATCATATGGTATTTGTCTTTCAACACCTGGCTTATTTCACTCAGCATAATGCTTTCCAGTTCCATCCATGCTGTTGCAAAGGGTAGTAGCTCCTTCTTTCTCTCTGCTGCATAGAATTCCATTGTGTATATGTACCACAATTTTTTTTTTAAGATTTTACTTATCTTCAGAGGGGAAGGGAAGGAGAGAGGGAGAGAAACATCAATGTATGGTTGCCTTTTGTGCATCTCCTGCTGGGGACTGGCCTGCAGGGAACAGGTCTGCAACCCGGGCATGTGCCCTGACTGGGAATCGAACCGCGATTGTCTGGTTCGCAGGCCCATGCTCAATCCACTGAGCTACACCAGCCAGGGTGTTGTACCACAATTTTTTGATCCATTCATTTACTGATGGGCACCTGGGTTGCTTCCAACTCTTGGCTATTGTAAATTGTGCTGCTATGAACATTGTGGTGCATAGGTTCTTTGAAATTGATGTTTTAGGATTCTTAGGATATAATCCTAGCAGTGGAATTGCTGGGTCAAAAGGCAGGTCAATTTTTATTTTTCTGAGAAAATTCCATACTGTTTTCCATAATGATTGTACCAGTCTGCAATCCCACCAAGGGGAGAGAATCTTAAAAGCAGCAAGAGGAAAGAAGAGTTCCCTACAAAGGAGTTCCCATAAGACTATCAGCTGATTTCTCCAAAGAAAACTTGTAAGCAAGAAGGGGCTGGAATGAAGTGTTCAAAGTCATGAAAGGTAAGGACCTACCTCCAAGATTACTCTATCCAGCAAAACTATCATTTAGAATGGAAGGGCAGATAAAGTGCTTCCCAGATAAAGTCAAGTTAAAGGAGTTCATCATCACCAAGCCCTTATTATATGAAATGTTAAAGGGACTTATCTAAGAAAAAGATGATAAGAACTACAAATAGTAAAATGACAACAAATTTACAACTATCAACAACTGAACCTAAAAAAACCAACAAAAAACAAACTAAGCAAACAACTAGAACAGGAACAGAATCACAGAAATGGAGATCATATGGAGGGTTATCAGCGAGGAGGAGGATGGGAAAATGGGGGAAAAGGTACAGAGAATAAGTAGCATAAATGGAAGGTACAAAACAGACAGGGGAGGTTAAGAATAGTATAAGAAATGGAGAAGCCAAGAACTTATATGTATGACCCATGGACATAAATGAAGGTTGGGGAATAGTGGTGGGAGAAGGGGTACAGGGTGGAGGGGCATAAAGAGGAGAAAAAATGAGACAATTGTAATACAAAAAAATTTAAAGAAACAATGTGTTTTGGCAACACCAACAGTGAACTCTAATGCGAACTATGGATTTGGGGTGCTAATAATTAGTCAATGCAGGGTCATTCGTTGTAGCAAATGCACCGTGGTAGTGTGGGATGTCAATAATGGCATTGGCTGTGAAGGTGTGGGGCAAGGGGGTATGTGGGAATTGTCTATACTTCACACTTAGTTTTAGTGTGAACCTAAAATTACTCTAAAAAATAAAGTCTTTTATAAAATAAATAAGTTAATTAATTTAAAATGTCTGCTTCAAAAAAGCAAGCTTATGACTCAATTATGAAAACTTCTCTCCACCAGGGCTTCTGAGGCTACTCTGGTGCTCATCAGGTAGCAAGAAGGGGATTTTGCGGGTGTCCTCACCCCCACACACAACACACCTCATTATTTCCCCTTGGTTGGACTTTGGGGCTGTGGCTCCTGCCTCTCCTATACCTTCTTCTCATTTTGCCCAGGCCTTGATGTAGCAACAGGGAAAGTAGGAGGAGAAGAGGAGGAGGCTGGGCTGAGAACAACAGTTGTTTATCACAGAAATCTCATATAGAATAAAAAATGGCTCTTCTCAGAAATCAGGAAAAAGGGAGATTGTAATGGAAAAATAATTGGAAGAGAAAGTGCAAAACCAAGTATAACCCTTTCTTTGCTACATTTCAGTGGCCTCAAATCAAACCATCCTACTATCCAAAGACATGTATACTATCTTCCCCAACTCCTTGCCACCCAGTTTCGTTTAGCTCCGAAATTGCTGTGAAATAAAATCCTGCGAGGATGCAGGAGACTTCAGGCCTTTAGCACACAAGGGCTTATGCCAGAAAACATACCTGTTCTTGTTTTCAAAGTGCTGCTTCATTTCAGCACAGCGGAGATCCATTTCATTGGAGAGCTGGAAATGAGGCCATCATTAGCAACATAGGATTGAGGACTCTACTCCCATTCCAGTCTGCAACTTCTAAGAAGCCTTCTCATTCATGGGGAACACCCCACTCCCTGAGTTTCTCCATCATTACTGAGGGAACAGAACAATTCCTGCCTTGCTCTTTGTTGTCTGGTATGTAATCAGTTCATAGTGTTGGTACACGGAAACCATCTCTGTCACTACAAGGTTTTGTGAGCAGGTCTGGTCTCTGATGGACTGTAATCTCTTTGTAGGAGCATGGCCTCGAATACATAATTCAATTGAACAATAATTTCTTGAACCAAGGGCTTGGCCTAAAAAAGCCAAAGAAGTTTAAGACACAGACCTTGCCTTCAATGAACTGTAAATCAGTGTTAATAAATCCTCATTGGCAGAATGGTTGTATCCCAGCAGGCAGGATTTGCTTACTTCCACTCTAACACATGAGACCCTCTGGTCACTGTCTCAGGAGTAATGGACATTTCCAAACTAGTTAGCACCCGCTGCCATCTGAGACAAGGGTTCAGGGCCTGTCCTTGTCCCTCTCTGACTAAACAGTGGCACCAGCACTCCTCCCTTGCACAGGGTCACACAACAATTTGGGGTGTTCAGAGGTAGGAGAATTTTATTTCATTTTTTTAGATGGGAGAATTTTAAGGATTACAATCTGACATCCCTCCATGGAAATAATCTCTATGTTTTCAGCAGGACTGATGCTTCAGTGAGTAAAAATAAGTGTTTTGCCCAAATGAAGGTTCTTTCTGTAGAAAGAAACCATAAACCTGACAGTGTTTTCAGGTAAATATAGTAATGACTCAATAATAGGGGAGGGTTCAGTATGAGTCACAAGCTGGGTCCCTGCAGGATTCAGAAGCATCTGGTAGGGGCTGAGAGGGTGACAGATGAGCCTGCTGGAAATTCAACCTTTATAAGTGTGTTTCAGTAACAACAGGAAGATGGTGGGGGGTTCCAATTATCACTCCAGACCAGGCCACCTGCCACACCTGCTCAAAAGGGGAAAGAAGAGACTATGATAAAATAGATGTCAAAATCTAAAGAAAGTGTCACCAAAATCCCCAGGTAACACAGAGTGCAATTGACATCAGCAGAATCTGAAGTGTGGGTAGTTTCAATAGCAACAGGAAGTGGTCACTGGAGGCTTCTGGGTAGCTTTGAGCAACCCTGTAAGCAGTGACTGTGCTGGTGCCCTAAGCAAGAGCCTTCACAACCTCTGAAGCTTATCTCACCACGAGGCAGGAAATGGCTGGCATCCTCTAATGTGGAGAGGACAGCGGCACTGAACACACCTGAGGCATCAGGAGATCTCCCAGAAATTGAGTGAGGACTTGAGGAGGAACTTGAGTTCTTGCAATTATGGATGAGGATGGGACAGAGAAAGACCACTGGGTAACCACAGTCCTACCTTCAGAGCTCTTGCCTGGACAACATGGCTCCCATGAGTCAAATCCTTGGCATCATGCCTGACAGATAGCAGGTGATCTGAAAATCTTGGTCTTTCTTATGCCCATAGAGATGTCAGCTAACTTAAGGATCACTCACCGATTTTTCGGCAGACTGGTGGTCTCTGTTCATTTGCTCTATTATCATCGTCAGCTCTGAGATCTGCTCCTCTAGGTCAGTAATGATTTCAGTCCTATGGGATAAGTAGTCCTTCAATCATCCACAGAGCTTCTATTTCATGCAAGTCAAGCCTCTTCCCAAGCATGAATGGCTGAGGCCTGGTGAGAGCCGAGCCATGTTCTACACCTATTCCACCATCACTCCTTGGGAGAGGAGGAGTAGAAGAGTAGAAAGAAGGAATTTGGCAGTAGTGTAGTTGAGCCTTAAACATGACCCTTTTGGTTGAGCTGGTCAGAACTGAGTGGGGTGGTTTGGTTGCCTATTAATAGAAGGGAAAGAGGAATATGTCATAAATCTATTAGGGTTTGACCTTGATTTAGTAATGATAGCTGAAATGGAGGGGGAAGAATTTCAGAAAATTAGGAAATGAAAAGGTGGTGAATAAAATTGATGCTGACAGTGAATCGGACAAAAAAAAAAATGGGCCAGAAACTGGTTGAGGGGGGGAGTTAAGAGTGCTTTTCAGACTTGATAAGGGTTTTCTGTGCTTCTGGATCTGGAGCCCCCACCATGTCTAAGATTATTCAGCTGTGTTTGGTTGACCTGGAGTAAACAGGGTGGTAAGCCATCCTGTGTGCAGTGCAACAGAGAGGAGGTCCTTGATTCAGAGGTTGAGAAAAACAAAAGGATGTAGGAGGAAAGGGCCTCAAAGTATGCAAAAAAGAAAGGGTATGAGAAGGTTGAACAACAGGGGACTCATAACACAATCTTCAATGAAAACAATACTTACAGCTTTACCAGGGAATAAAACAAGTATGGATTATGTATTTTGTTATGCCACAACTGGTGACAACTTTCTTATTGAGGCCAAGAAGTGGCTGAGAGTGCCGGCTTGACTGTGGATACATGACCCATCTCCTGCTGCAGAGGGCCTTGGATGAGCAGGGCAAAGAAAACAATGCCTGAATGTTCCCACTGGAGGGAAGACAGAGACTGGAGTTTGTTTCTCTAGGCCAAATCAGATCAGGGTGGCTCCACACACAACCTCTCTCAACAGTGGGCTTATCCCCAGTCTGAATCCCTTCTCAAATCCCTTCCCACTGCTTCCGGTTTGATGGTGTCCTTTCTATATACTTACAAATAGTTAGGTGATTAGTCTGTGTGTGTGTTTTCTGTTGTTATTATCGGCCTTTTAAATTTCTGCTTTGAGAAAATACTTTTTCACAGCAGTTTAAAGCCCAAGGAAGAGATACTCCCTGGGGGGCCATTGCAATAGTGCAGAAAGGAAGTTATCCCATGGGGACAGAGAAGGTATGAGAGACTTTGGAGGTAGAATGAAAAGGATGGGGGGACTGCCTTCACATGGCATTATAGGATAGAGAGTGGGTGGGGTTTGAGCAACAGAAAGGATGACAGTGAACTCAACTGGGATGGAGTTAGGCCAGACTCTTCCACGCTGCATCTCCCAGAGGGAGAACTGAGTGATACCTCTGTACAAAATGAAAAAGGGAGGCATACTTGGGCTTCCCAGGACCCCTGACTTTACTCTGAGTTCTTGCCCAACAAATTTTGACTATTTTAGGAATATTTCATCAGTTCATTAGTTTCAGGAAAAATTGCTCTCTAGTACAAATGGCACTACACCCGTCATTTTCCAGATCAGCTGACTGACCTGACTTTCAACCCAATTAGAATGGGACTGATGGAGCAGAGAGGCAGTGTGGAGAGGAGCAGGCTTATGGCTGAGGCATGAGGTGATGCTACAGAACCTCCAGAATAGGGACTCTGCAACTGGGAGTGGACATTTGGGGCCGATCCTTGAGGCCAGGCCCAGCCAAGCAAGGATAGGACTGAGGAGCTGGATGTTGGTCCAAAGACATTACCTGGAAATTTTCACTTTGTCCATGGTCTCTGATTTCAAATGCTTTTTCCTATCAAACATCTCATCTCCCAAGGTGACGGAAATTTGCTCCCTATTCCGAAAGAGGCGATAGCCAGGTGACACGTTGATTACTTCCTAAGCATCAAGGTGGAAGGTAAGATAATATTGCAGCATCCTGAGATTTCTCCAAGTCTACTAGTGCCCTACTCACATCTAAAAACACAGAGATGAGATGGGAGTACAGCACCCAAGTCCTTCCCGTGCCCTTTCCCTGTTACCACTCACCTTCCTATCTCCAGATTTCTTTCCTGAGGTCCAATCGCAAGATTCAGCTGGATCCAAAACATACCCGTTGACACCCACTCCATACTATACACCCAGCCCTGTTCCTCCTCTATGTTCTCCATCACGGCCAGAAGCCTGGAGGTAGCTGAGTATTGTGGAAATCACTCAGTTTTCAAAATTAGACAGGACTGAGTTTAAATCCTGACTCTGCCACCAACCACAGTTACTCAACATCTCTGTGCCCTAGCTTTTTCTTCAGACAATAAAGATAATAACTTCCTCAAAGGGATTAGTGAGAATGAAACAAAATTACATATGAGAAAATGCCCAGCACAGTTAAAAAAATGTTTTTTAAGTCAGCTTTTCCTCTGTCCCCTGCTAGATGCTAAGTTACGACAAATCTGGGCAGGGCTACCAGCCGTCAGGGACCCAGAAACCACTGTGCCTTCTAGAGTTGTGCAGGGCAGCCCTGCAGGATATGAGACCTGCCGCTGTTGTCTCCTAGATGTTTCTCATCTCCGTTCCATCCTTTCACACCCCTGGCCCTGACACAGCCTGAGGCCACCACCATGTGTCTCTTTAGCTCTGGAGATACTTTCCCAGTAAGCCTCTGCTTTCAGTCTGGCACCCCTAAATTCACCGTCCTCTCCTCCTGGAAGGCTATGACAGTTTTGTTTAATTTTTTCCTTAACATTAAGGGATTACATGATCCTCTTCTAAGAGGTTTGGGGGAGAAAGAAAAAAATAGGTAAAAGCAGAAAGTGGTAAAAAACACCAAAACAACAATTATATCCCACCAAAGGTTTTTTGTTTTTTTTTTCTAAAATGTAAATCTTACCTGGTCCCGTGCCTGTGTCAGACACATAAAGGCTCCTGGACATCAAAAAGACTGGGTCCAAACTTCTGGGCAGGTGTTAAGATCCCTCAGGGATTGGTCCCCACCTTTCTCCAAAACCTCTTGCTCCTACTCCCCTAGGTGCCCAGATGGCCCTTGCCCATCACATGTGGATTTCCAAGTGCAGCAGAGGGTTCCCTGCATCTGGGTATGAGCTGTCCCCTGGCCTGGACTGACTGCCACCATCTGGTTTCCCTGGAACATTCTCCTTGCCCTGCACAAGGCAGTAGAGAGGTAACTAAATACCTGAGGTCTGGCTGAGGCAAGTTTGAGTCCTGGTCCTGATATTTAGCAGCCACATACTATGAGGAGGGCATGGCACCTCCTTATAGGATCACTGCAAAGATTCAATGATATAAGTACGTGTAAAGGACCCATGCCCACACACAGTAGGTACTCAATAACTGTTAATCCCACCACCCTCTGTCCATTTTTACTCACGCAAGGTAAATTATTGCTCTCCGCTTGTTTTCCTAAACGGCTTTCCACTCTGTAAGAGAAAGGTATGCTCAGAAGCAACCAGAGATCAAAGGGAAGTTCCAAGCTCAGGAGCTACGCCCTAATCCCAACAACTCATCTGTAAAAACTGTCATTCTTGGGATGATCTCTGAGGCCCTTTCAGCTCTCAAAATATTATGTTTTAGAAAATAGAGAATATTTAATGGTCCAGGGATCATTAGTACACAGGTTGTGATAAAATGGCAGGTAGTAAAAAAGTCAGAAATCGACTACTCACTAGTCTAATAGAACCATTCCTAAAATAATGGCCAAGAGACTTGGAGTGCAGACCCAAAGGGCTCTCCTATGAGCGGTGCATAATCTTAAATGCACACATTTTTTAATGACACGTCCTTTATCTACACAACTGCCTCTCTTCTCATTTGCAGCAGAATTTGGTGTTCTAGGATTCCGAAATAGCCAGTTAAGTTAATTCAGGATAAGCAAAATAGTACTATTTTGAGATCTGGTGCTAATCCTGACCATAATAAATTTTTGTTTTCAGGTACAGAATCATGAGCATAATATCAAGTATCCAAATAGCAAAAGAGTATTTATAAGTAGGTTCACCTAGAAGGTTGAAAGAATATAGAGTAACTGCCTTCGGACGTGCTGACAGAAACAGGTAGGTCTAGGTACGTGATGTTGCGGCCTCTCCCCTCGGCATCAACGTACCAGTATGTACCGACACATGCACATGTACCACAGGGCAGCTGCTGCGGCGCAGACAACTGAAACCTGCTCTAGAAGTTCCACGCACCCACCGTCAAAGCTACCACAGTATCATTAAGGGTTGTGGAGTTGGTTGCCAGGGTGGGGCAGGTTCAGAGTCTGTGGCTGACTCTCAATGTGGTGAGTGGGGTTGGGAGGACTTTTCCTGGTGGAAGCAGTTCCATCTTAGTCAATAACCATCAGTCTGGTTTAGACCCCAGAAGGCCTCCAGAGAGTGTTAGCTACCAGAGGATTTGGCTACCTTAGATGCGACTAATAACCTTTGAATTTAACTCGCACTGGCAAAAAGAGTCTGTGTGTTAAAAAATGGGCATGAGTGAGCAATATATACTAATGATACAATGAGGTTCACATGTAATTTAAGAGTTAGAACCATTTAAATGAACTTAAATCAAACATACGTTCCCAATTCAAATGTCCACAATGATAATTTGGTCTGTTTTCTTTGAATTCAGGAAAGCCTTTTTGGGAACCACTGGGTCTCTTTAAAAAAGCTGACCATGGATTTGAGTTTATGGGTTTTTTTTGTTTTTTGTTTTTTTTTTTTTTGCTCTTAGTAAATATCATTGAGCAAACTGAGACCTTCCATAGCATTGAATTGACTTTAGAACTTCTGGAAGGGTCAGAGTGTGACTATGTAGATACTCATTTTGTCAGACAGTTGGGTTTCTCCCACTGAGAAGTAAAAAGTAAGACAATCCAGACTGACTCATCTTTACTCTTTTTGTCCTTGTGAACCTGTTACTTACATTGCTCCAATTATACTGACCAAATTTTGACACTTTGTTGACATCAATCAACATTTTCTCATTTAATGAATTCAGTGAATGGTTAATATAAGCAAAGCACAGTGCTTTGTACCAAGAGAGATGGAACAAGAGTAAGAGAGAAAAAGGCACCTAAATACTGAAAAGGAAAGAAAAAGAGTTAAGTACCATAGAGAACTGCAGATAAAGTGATTTGCTAATTGTCTCTCTCAGGGGTTAAGAGCATCCAGCTACTGCCATTTTTCAAGGCTCCTGATATCATAAAAAACAAAAACTCCCAAGAACTGCTAAAACATGGTTACAACAGTTGAGTTATGGTTGATGTTTAATAATTGAAAACTTTATACAAAAAGCATTATATGTTTGCAAGAAAATTAGAGGATTCACAAACAGGATGTAATTCAGAGAGTTGAGATGGCATGTTTGAAGACAGAGCACCAAGTTATGAATTCACTGGTGAGCAGTTTCTTCCTGTGCCCATTTGAAGGTTATGTCAATGTCGTCTACCTGAGCCTCTTCCCAAGAGTGAGGGCAAGAGCAGCAGGCCATCCTGTGCCTGGCTGCTCCATTTCCCTTCCCAAGCGCCACCTAGGCAGAACTTGGAGGCTGGATGACATGGAGCCCAGGACAGACTACAATGACCAAGTGTGTATTCTCTGAATTGGTCTTAGAAGATGGCAGGGAATAATTTGCCTTGAAGGATCTTCCTGGAAAGTTATAGGTCTTTGATAGAGAATTTTAAAAACATCCACAAAGTGTTCATCACTGTGTTGCAAAGCCAGAGGAGGACCATACTAGCAAGGGTTAATGTTGGCAGCCAGAGTGGAGCTGTGGACGTCAGTGAGGTCTCTCCCAACGACAGGCACTGGTTGACGGAGGCCTTGAGCTTGACTATTAAAATGGAAGTTAGATAAGATCCACAGGTATGACCATGCAGGCCGGGTGCCAGCACACAGAAAACAGACAATAAGGAACCGTTTCACTCATACACAGGCATTCAGTGAATCCCTTGTTATGAATGGATCCAATTCCCATCAGGCTTTGTCAACACCACTCAACTGAGATAATTCCCTTTGCTGTCACCAAGCTACTAAATCCAACAGTACTGCCCAGGCTTCATCTTAATTGACTAGCAGCAGTTTTTAAAACAGACAATCATACCTTCTTTCTTCGAATATTTTAATCTTTTGCTTCTAGGACACTAGGTAGATGATGCTTCATCTGTCTCCCTGGCCACTCCCTCTCAGTGTCCTTTTTGAGTCCTCTTGTCTCTCCCACCTCTCAACAGGAGTGCTCTGGTGCTCAGTTCTGCCCCCTTCCTACCACTGTCTCTACTCCTTGCGTTGGAGATCTCACCTGGGTGCAGGGCTCTAAGTACCATATGCTGATGATTCTCAAATGTGTATCTATAGCCCAGACCTCTCTGATCTGTTCACCCAGCTGCTTGCTTACTTGACATTGTCACTTGGATATTAAGAGGTAATTTGAACTTACTAAGCTCAATGCCCTATATATGTGCACCTCCTGTAGTCTTCCCCAATTGCAGAAAATGGCAATTCTATCCTTCCTGTTGCTCAGCCAAAAATCCTGAAGTCAGGTTTGACTTTTTTATTTTTTCTCATATATTATACCCATCCCATTAGCAGACACTATTGGCTTGTACCTTCAGAATATATCCAGAATACGACCAGTTCACAATACTGTTTCCACAAGGTTCAATCACCATCACCCCTTGCTTGGATCCCTGCAGTTACATCTTATCTGGTCTCCCTTGGCTTCTCCCAAGGCTTCTACTCTTGGCCACTGCAGTCCTCATTCTCAATGCAGTAGCCAGATTAGTCTTTCCAAAAATGTAAGTTGGATCATGTCACTCTTCTTATAATCCTCTGATGGCTTCCCAGTTGTTAGGGGCTAAGCTGTGTCCCACACCCCCAAATTCATGTGTTGAAGCTCTAACCCCTGATATCTCAGAATGTGACCATTTGGAGATAAGGCCTTTAGATAAAATGATGCCATTAGGATGGGCCCTAATCCAATCTTAATGGTGTTCTCATAAGAGATATGAGGACAGAGGCCCCAAAGATGGACACATACAAAGGAAAGACCATTTGAAGAGGTTGTGAGCAGACAGCCATCTGCAAGCCAAGGAGAGTCCTGAGAGGAAACCAACCTGCCAACACCTTGGTCTTCAACTTCCAGGCTCCAGTCTGTGAGAAAATAAAGTTCTGTTGCTTAAGCCACCCAGTCTTTTTTGTTGTTGTTATGGCAACACTACCAGATGATACAGCATCCCTTTTAGAGTAAAAGCCAAAGTCTTTTTACAGTGGCCAGAAAACCTCGCTGTATAAATTTCCTATTGCTGCTGTAATAAATTACTGTAAGTTTAGTTGCTTTAAACAACACCAATTTATCTTACAGGTTTAGAAGTCAAAGTTGTCTTACTGGGCTGAAATCAAGGTGTTGGGAGGGTTTTCTTCCTCCTGCAGGCTCTAAGAGAAAATCTGTCCCTGGCCTTTTCCTCCGTCTTCAAAGACAGTGAGTACATCTCTCTGACCTCTGCTTCTATCGTCACTTCTCCTCTGACACTCTGGCTTCCTCTTTCACATATAAGGACCTTTATGTTTACATGGGGCCCAGCTAGATAATCCAGGAGAATCTCGCCACCTCAAGTCAGCTGTTTAGCAAACATAATTCCATCTGCAATCTTAATTTCCCCTTGGCAAGTAACAGAACATGGTTGGTCCAGGGATTAGGATATGGACCTCTTTGGGGACCGTTATTCTGCCAACCACATTCATTGTCTCTGTTACTTCTCTGAGCTCATCTCCCACCACTCTATCCTCACTTTCTCCGTTCCAACCACACTGGCCTCTTTGCTTTCCTGAAATAGGCCAGATGTGCCAAGCAAGTTCTCACTCAGCCTTTGAACTTGCTGCTTCCTCTGCCAGGAGTACTTGGCCCAGACGTCAGTGTGGTTTCTGCTGTCCTCTCTACAGAGGGACTTTCCCTGATCTCCATACATAAATAACTGTGAGCTCCAAGAAAGCAGAGCCTTTGTTGTGTTCACTGCTGTTCCCCACACCTGAAACACTGCTTAGCAAATAATAGATGCTCAACAAATATTTTCCAAATAAATAAACAAATGGAATACAAAGACTCATGGAAGACATAAAACTAAGTTAAACTTCTGAGTTTATAAAATGTGGGCAAAATTTTCACTATATAAGGAAACATAGAGTTGTAATTTATATAAAATCTTAGACATAGGGGAGTAACAGTAAAAGGATAAACACTACCAATGGGAGGCTCTTTGCCTGTGACAGGAACCAGGAATTGTCCCCTTTTAGGGAAACAGTTATCAGGGCACCTCAGATGAGAGCTCATTTGCGGAATGCTGCGGGTACAGAGGGCCATAGAAGCTATATGTAGGATCTGAGGTTAGGAGGAAATTGCAGTAGGTTCTGGCAATTCTCTGACCTTCCTGGCAGGATTAGTTCGAGTCAGGCAAGGGTGTGAAGGCCAAGGAGAGACTGTTGTATTCACATACTTCGTTCCCAACCCAATGGGCGTGCAAATACTTACTTTGGGGAGACAGCAGGTTTTGTTGTTGGTTGGACATAATTTTGTTTTTTTGAAGCTGGAGGAAGAGTTACACTGAAAGAAAAAAATAAATAGCAAAAAAAGAGAAAACTGGAAATTCAGAAGCCTGTTTTAGTACTCCCAGATTAGGTAGATCAGCATAGAGACCCCAAATTGAAATACATGGCTGACAACAGACAGTCTTTTTTCAACCTCAGGCTGAATGCCTAGGCACTTGTTCACTGTTCTGGGGGGTCCCTGGGTTGGCAACACAGGTTGTCCCCCAGTTCCCAAAGATCTTCATCCCACATGAAGGGGTAGCTGTCATGGGTCCCTTTGGTTGTAAGCCCCCCTTTCTCTGCTCAACTAACTCTGAGACGCCCTCATTTAAAGTGACACTAAACTAGGCCGAACTGGCAAGAGCAATGTGCAGCTAACAGGCTGGCAGGAAAAGCTGTGCAAAGCCAGGCTTTCTAGCCCTCTTGGGATTTTTGCTACCAAATTGTTCTGAAAATCTTGTGAAAGAAAGAAGCCTGCAGATGGACTCCAAGCCTCCAGGCCATCCTTACTGGGACTTCCCTGTGGAGGTCTTTCTTGGTGGTTGAGGTGTCTTGATTAGCTTCCGTGGTCCCAAGTTGCAAGGGTCCCAGCAGGTGCAGTAGACGAGAGGGCTGGGGTACATGGCAGGAATACGGGGCAGTCTTGGCTTCTAGGTCAGGAGGCCCTTGATGAATTAAAGGGGAAAAAACAGAGAGTTACACCATTTAGAGTCAAAGCAACAATATTTAGAGACAAATTGGGAAAAACCCAGGGAAGTCCTGAAGCACAGATGGTAGATTATGGAAGCTGTTGATCTGGTACAGGGTCCTGACTACAGAATCACACCTCATCCTTTGCCACCCAAAAGGCTTGACTTGAAAGTGTTAAAACTTGCTATAACTGAGTGCTTACTGTGAGCCAGGCACACAAAAAGTGATCAATTATTCTTATCCAATTTTGCAGAAGAGGGTAATGAGGATCAGGGAGGTCATGGAGGTAGCAAGTTGCAGAGTTGGGAACAAACATAAGTCTGCCTGACTCCTAAGCCCTTGCTCTTCCATCAGGTCACACTAGCTCTCTCTAAAGTAAAGAGAAATTCCTACAGCAGGTCCTGCAAAGAATTTTCTAGAAAATTAGTTTTGTTACTTAAATGAAATTGGGCCTCCTAGTTTTTTATTCCTGGCCCCCTGCCTGAATTACAGTCAAAACTCTTCCTTCTTGGTACTTCCGCCAAGATGGAGGCATAGGTGGATGTGCCGTGCCTTCTCACACAACCAAGTTTAGAGACAATTAAATATTAGCAACAGAAAACATAGCCAGAACACGGAAAATTGAACTTTTTGGAAGTCCGTTAACAACAAATTCTTCAGCCTGACCAGTAAGGGGCGAAACCAGCGGCTGGTGAAGCGGGGTTGCACAGGAAAACTTGGTCAGATGGACTCAGGCCCGCGGAATCCAGGCACAGGGCTGGACCTAGTGAGCGACCGAGCAAGCGACCAGGCGAGCGACCGCGGGGGAGACAGTGGAGGAGCAGTGCTGCGTGTTGACTGTGGTCGCGCATTTGTGCGCGGGTGGACAGGTGAGGGAGTGGGCGGTTGGACCGGGCCCCGGTGGGTCCTGCGGCAAGCGGCAGTGGAGGGCGCCGCCATTTCCCTGCTCTGACCCCACCTCCACATACAGCATCATAACCCAGCGACTCTGAGTGGCCCGGCCCAGGTGAACTGCCTAAGGCGCTGATCCTCACCCAGCTGTGAGAAACAGCTGAGGGGGTGGCCATTTCCCCGCTCTGACCACGCCCCCACATATAGCATCACAACCCAGCAACCTGGGAGTCCAAGGCACCGCTTCTCACACTTAAAGGGCACAAACAGACCAAAAATGGCACAGGAAGATCTCAAAGCCCCAGAACCTATAGATCTAAGTGATGAAGAAATAGCAAAACTCTCAGACGCACAGTTTAAAACACTGGTCATCAGGATCCTCACAGAACTGGTTGATTATAGCCACAAATTAGACAAATATATGAAGGTGAAACTAATTGAAATGAATGGAAATGCACAGGACACCAATAGCAATGAAAAGGAAACTGGGACTCAAATCAATGGAGTGGACCAGAAGAAAGCAAATAATGGCCAAACAGAAAAGAGTCAAGAAGCAAGAATTCAAAGAAATGAGGAGAGTCTTAGGAACCTCCAGGACATCTTTAAACGCTCCAACATCTGAATTATAGGGGTACCAGAAGGGGGAAAGGCACAGCCACCAGTGGAAAACTTATTTGAACAAATAATAAAGGAGAATTTCCCCAATCTGGCAAAGGAAATAGACTTCCAGGAAATCCAGGAAGCTCAGAGAGTCCCAAAGAAGTTGGACCCAAGAAGGAACACACCAAGGCACATCATAATTACATTAGCCAAAATTAAAATGAAGGAGAGAATCCTAGAAGCAGCAAGAGCTAAGGGGACAGTCACCTACAAAGGAGTCCCCATCAGACTGTCAGCAGATTTCTCAAAAGAGACCTTACAGGCAAGAAGGGGCTGGAAAGAGGTATTCCAAGTCATGAAATCCAAAGACCTACAACCAAGATTGCTCTATCCAGCAAAACTTTCATTTAGAATGGAAGGACAGATAAAGTGCTTCTCAGATAAGATCAAGTTCAAGGAGTTCATCATCACCAAGCCCTTATTATATGAAATGTTAAAGGGACTTACCTAAGAAAAAGAAGTTAAAGAAACATGAACAGTGAAAGGACAACAAACTCACAATTATTAACAACAACACCTAAAATGAAAGCAAACTAAAAGGATAGCTAGATCAGGAGTGGAGACATAGAAATGAAGATCTCAAGGAGGGTTAGCAACAGGGGAGTGGGAGGAGGAGACGGGGGGAGAAGGTACAGAAAATAAGTAGCATAGACAGTAGATAGAAAATAGAAGGGGGGGGGCAAGAATAGCATGGGAAATATAGAATCTAAAGGACTTGAGATACATGGTCATAAACTAAAGGGGGGGGTAATGGTGGGGATGGGGGGGTAGGGTGAAGGGGAATGAAAGGGGGAAGAGAACAACTGTAACGGCATAATCAATAAAAAAAATTTTAAAAAAAGAAAAAAAACTCTTCCTTCTTGGCTCCATAAAAAGAAAAAAAATCCCTATAAATTGGCTTGAAAGACAACTACCAGATAAACATGATCACACTTGATCATACTTATTTATCCTTTTCTTTCCAGAACCCCACTAAAATCAGAGTTCAGGATTAAAAGAGGTTTAATCTCATAAACACAAAGAGAATGAGAGAGGAGACAATACTGCCCAAGTGACGTCAATGCATGTTTGGCACAATAACCTCCTCACTTTGCATACCATAAAAAGCTATAGCCTATGTATATGAACTAGAAGGAACCAAATTCCATGTGCAAGACCCCAAGACTCAGAACTTGACACCAGTAGATCATCTAATAATACTGACAGGCATTTCACAGATCTGTTGGAGCCTGTGGTAGGTCGAATAGTGCTCTTTCCCCCAGTAAACATCCATGTTCTAATCCCTGGAACCTGTGAATATATAATTTTTTTGTTCCGAAGGAGCTTTACAGCTGAGATTAAATTAAAGATCTTGAGATGGAGAGATTATCTGGATTATCAGTGTGAGCCCAAGCTAATCACAAGCATCCTTATAAAAGGACAGTGGGGAGAGTTAATCAGAAAATGGTCAGGTAGAAGTGATCTAGAAAGGGTCATGAGCCAAGAAAAGTGGTCGGCATTTAGAAAACTGGAAAAAGAAAGAAAATGATTCTTCCCTAGAGTTTATAGAAGGAACAAAGTTTTGTCAACACTTGATTTGATTTATAACATAATAAACTGGTGCTGTTTTAAGCCACTAAATTTGTGGTAATTTGTCACAAAGCATTTGTAATAAAAAACCAGAAAATTTAGCAAAAGAAACATAGAAACCTAAGAAAAAAATTATATAATTACTCCAGGTTAAAAAAATTGTATAAGAAAGCAGATATAATCATAGTAAGGTACATACGCACATATATTTATATAAACATATACTGATTTAACAAAAAAGTAAATTATGACTACAACTGGTGGGAGGGCAATGGCAGGAGAATGAATATGTGAAATCCTCATCTACCATAGCAGGAAGTCAATAGAGAATGTTTAAAATTGAAAAATTAACAACCAGAGACAAATTATTTAGAAGCATGAAGTTAAGTTCCAAAAGAAATAGCTAAAAGAGTTGAAAATAATTGTCTCTAGGGAATCTCTAGAAAGCACACTGAGGAACAGAACCAAGAAGAGGGGCGGGAAGGAATTGTAACATTTCATTAATGAATTTTTAACATGATTTGACTTTTAAATGTCTGGATTATTTGATAAAAATTAAAATTAACACCAAAAAATGCTATGAGAGCCAAGAGACCAACAGAAGCATTACAACGACAGATTTAACTCAAATTTCTGTCACTGACTGGTTTTCATTAGTTCACTGAAATAAATTTGCCTAAGAATCAGCTGAAAAATTAAAGAAACCTTTTTCTCTAATGTGACTGATGCTTGAGGAATCCAGTTAGAGCTAAATGGGACCATAACATTCTATCCATTTTACAGATGAGGAAACGTAGACTCAGTCATGAAGTGACTCTGGGACACCTACACATGCTCACTTAAGAGCACAAATACTTACAGTTCCTGCTGTGAGTACTATGCTAGATGCTGGGGATACCGAACATTTGCATCTTGCCTTTGGAAAGCGTGCAGGTGCTAGGGTCCTCTCAGGAAGGGAACTGAGATGCCAAGGAGTGAGCTGTGGAGCCAGGACAAGAGACAATGCCTTGAAGAAAGGTAGGATGTGCAGGTGGTCTGAGCCCAGGGTACGGTGTGGAGTAGAGATTAGGGCTTGAAAGGAGGCCAAGAGGCTGGATAAACAGCAAAGACCTAAACATCAGGTGACAGGGCCGCCTTACCTGTTTGTGCTCCCTTGTGTTTGGGGCCCTAGCCAGGAGATCTTAGGGAGATGAGGTCAGGGAAGCAGACAGGGTGGAGCACCCCAGGTGAAAAGACAGTGCCACAGGGGTTAGAATTGAGGTGACAATCTGAAAGGAGGATGCAACACTAGCAAAAGAGTAGCTTTGCTTTTGCTTAGGACGTGATATCTGCTTCCTGTGAGGACAGAGGCCAATGCTGAGGCAGGAAGTGACAGGCGAAGGCAGGCCAGCTCCCAGCAACCAACTTCCCTCCCTCTTCCATTCTTGCCTGCCTGTCCGGACTGTGCCATTCTTGAAGGCCTGGACTCTGCCATGTCATTCTCTGTGCCCCCACAGGGACTGGCAAAACAACTTGTTCAAAACGCCTATTTGATAAATATTTGTTGCTGGATTATAAACTGGGTGATTATAACCACAAGGACCAGCTCAACGAGGAGAAAATGATCCACAGATGAAACTGCAAAAATGTAACGGTCATTACAATATTATAGGTAATATTAAAAATTAAAATGAAAATGAAAAAACGTCCCAGGACCACCGGCGCCGCAGAGACCTCAGGACCGCCCACATCGGATGTAGCGGCGGCGGCAGTGAGCGGCGCCTAGGAGAACCTGCAGATACAACTGAAGCAGCGCTGCGGACCATGCGCATCAAAGAAGGGCTGCTTCAGTCCCCCCCTCTTGACGCATAAAGTACAGGGAATACCGCAGACACCGCCACTACAACCAGCCCAGCGGGTCGCGCTGGCCGCGGGGTTCAGCCTTGCAGGTCTGCGCAGGCGCAGGCCTCCCCGCGCACACCGCCCCCCCACCCCGCCCAAACACACACCCTTCCCCCCCCGCACGTTACGTACATTTCCCGCGCGCGCCTGCGTCTCGGAGCGCGTTGGGATCCCGTGGCCCCTGGGCAAGCCATCCCCGAGAGTGAAACAGCTAGTGGGAGGGCTGCGTGGGTACGCCCTCCTTCAAGGGAGAGTGGTGTGATGGAGGGTGGCAAAAAAACAAAAATAATAAATAAAAAATAAAAAGCCAAAATGTTACAATCAATGGAGTTTTTTACATAGATTTTAATTGACCATTTGAAAGCCTGTGGAAACATGAAGAAATGCTCATGCGCAAAGCTATACGATGGTATGTATGCAGTGAATACAATTATGTAAAAGTATGTGCCTACGCGAAAAAGGGTTAGAGAAGAATCTATTTAAAAATGGCAATTAAATTGGGCTAGAATGTCAGGACTGATTTTCTTCCTCCACAACATTGTTTACTAAAATTTTTCTTGAGCTTTGGAGTCAGGTGGGACCACTTTGCATATAGGTTCCTCTGCTTACCAGTTGTGGGACCTCAAGAAATTAATTTTCAGTTTCCTGAGTCTCCGTTTGCTCATCTGGAAAATGGGCACATGGGAGTTTAGTCCTCACTGGGCAGTCCTGCACATGAAATGAAACCATGTCAGCAAAGCTCCTGGCTCACTGCCTTGCACACGTTAGGTTCTCAAAAACCGGTTAACTGAGTTTATTAGTATAATGAACCAAAGTGGTATTTTGTTTATGGAAGCTTTTCTTTCTAACTTTTGGGGGAGAATAGGTTTACTTTGTGTGTGTTAAAATAGGCTGATTGTAAAGAAAATTATAATCCTAAGGAAGTAAGATTTCCAAATCTTACTATCTTAGTATCCAAAATACTAATACCTAGAAAAGACCACTGAAGATATTTTGGTTAGGGTCTTCTAGAATGTTTTCTAGTCTAAAGAAATAGATTTACATAATTGTCCATAAATAGGAACAGACTCTACTTAAATTGTAGTAATCTTTTTAAAAATTATGTAATGAGGTTCTTTGAATGTCACTATACATATATCATCTTTAAACACGATTACTTGGAGAAATTCTTAAATGTACAAAAGTAGAGAAAAGAGTATAATGAATTCATCGGTCGCCTAGCTTCAGCAGTTGGGAGTTAAATTTGTGACTAATCTCATTCATATATACCCAGCCTGCTTCTCCAACACCAGATTATTTTAAAGCAAATTTAAAGCAAATCTGTAATTTAAATTATACTTAAAATCTTTAAAGCAAGTGTATGATTTGTTTCTATATCATCATGACAATTTGTTTCATTTACATATTTTCCTTTTATTGTTTTTTTCTAATTTGTATATTTTTTGTAATTTTTCTTTGCTTTTTTCTTTTGTTTTGTATTTTTCTCCATTTACATTTTAACCAGTTTTGTATTGATGAAAGTTTTGTTTCCTTTTTTTCCTATTATGAACTATGCCATGGTGTGTATTCTTTTGCTCAAAAAGTAAAGGCCTCTCCCTCCAAACAAAAGAAACAAAAGTATCATCCCATGAGCATGATACTCAAAATATTTAATAACCAGTAAGACAAGGTTATCAAACAATCAGGATAGACATGGGCTACAAGGCTGGAAGAGGGTCCTGGAGGACTCCACTTCTGCCCCTTATGCTAGGCATTAACCTCTTAGTTACCGAATCATGAGGAAGTCTGGGGGTGCCAGGAGGAGGAGTCGGGCAACCCAGGTGACAGGGAAGACATTTGAGGGCCTCGGACAATGTATAGTTACAATTAGTATGGCAGTATTTCAATATTTCAGTAACGTGCACACCAGCTAAACATCAGCCTTGACTTTAAGTACTCTCCCAAGAAGTAACCACTGTTAGTTTTTTTAGTATCCTTCCAGGAATTATATATATAATGTACATATAAAATCTTTAACATTTTTACATAAATCAGAGTATACTTTACACCCTATGCCATGCCTTGTTCTTTTTGCATAAGAGGTTATGTAGTAGATGTTTCCATATTAGCAGAGATAGATCTAATACATTCACAGTGGTGGATATTGTATTGTATGGCTCTAAGATTACAAGGATGAGTGTGCACCCATGCATGGTGTGATTTAGGATTTTTATTCCTCCTCATTATTTTCCTGCCTCTTCCTGATGATTTTACCTGTGGCTGAGTGGACTGAATGTGCCACCTGGTGGTTATCAGTAAGCCAGCCAAGTCTTCAGAAAGGTCACTGGTTAGTATTAATAATCAGAAGAAAATAATTATATAAAACATCGTTTCCAAAGAGCTTACCTTGGACTGCCCAAAGATTTGTTTTTCCCATGAGGTTTCTTCTCACATCCAGAGTCTTAAAGACACCACAATGGTATAAAGAAATTGTTTTCCATCAACACAAAATCAGAATTCATTTTAGGTCAAATCCAGAAGTTTCAGAATTTAAGACTCTAGTGGTCATTCCAAGTGATTGAAATTCCAAAGCAGAAATTGCAGAGTATGTGTAGTGTAGAGAGACAGACTTCCAGTGAATCCAGTCACAAGCTTTTACAAAGGCTGAATTGGCATGAACACAAATGTCCTTTCAAAAGACAATCTAGTTTGAGTCTTTCAATATTGCAATGAAAGTCAAAGCAGGGGAGAAAGTCACTCATCTAGAGAGACTTTCTTGACGTGGGCCTTGAGTTGTGAGGTTTGCCCTTGGTAGAAGGTTGGCAGAGGTTTGTTTCTTTTGTTGCTATGGAAACAGAATGGCAGCACCTCATTTGCTCAGGCATTCTGCTCGTATAGAGAGGACTGGAAGAGCATCCAGTTAACAAATTCTCCAAGACATAGGGCAAAGCACACTTAAGCTATACTTTCAGAGGACATAGAATCCCCAAGAGTAGGAGTCTTTCAGTTGCTGGGAGTTCAGACTTTTTTTCTTAAATAAGGCTGTTTTTTTCTCATTGTAGGAGAAAATACTTATAGACCAATGTCTTTCATTATATTTTATTGAAACTCACTGTAAGAATTATATTTTACACACTTTATAATAAAAAGTATGAAATACCCTTACTTTATACTATTCTCATCTATTCTCTTAAAATGAAAGCTGATTATATATCCACTAGATTGATTTCATAATCTGATGAGTTACAACCCATAGTTTATAAACATTGTTTATAAATCCATCCATTCATTCTACTCCAGATTATTATTTACTGCATAAATAGTATGCAGGTGTGGGAATACACGAGGTCTGTCTGGAAAAGGTCCAGCCGAATGGACTGGAATACATATGTGTGAATAACGATGACTTCACTGTACCAGTCAGTGGGGGCAGTAGTTGCTATTGAGTGATCATGTGTACTCTGTGGCTGTGGCATTGAAAATGACTGAGTGACTAGAACAATGCGACTAGAAGTGACTGGAACAATGAATCTGCATCAACTTTTGCCGTAGCTTGAACATTTCCCTGCAGAAAGAAGGCTGCAACTAGGGGCACCCGATGATGGGCAACTGGTGAATGGCAGCTTCATCACAACAATGTTCTCAGTCATGAATCACATCTTGTGTGGAGTTTTTTGGTGAACATCAAATCACCAAGGTGACTAAGCCCCCCTAACACCTGGATTTATCACCCCGTGACTTCTGGCTCTTCCCAAAACTAAAATCATCTTTGAAAGGGGAAAGAGATTTCAGACCATCGATGAAATTCAGGACAATGTGATGCGGCAGCTGATGGTGATTGGGAGAACTGTGTGAAGTCCCAAGGTGCCTACTTTGAAGGGGACTGAGGCATCATTGTCCTATGTACAATGTTTCTTGTATCTTCTTCAATAAATGTCTCTACTTTTCATAGCACGTGGCTGGACATTTTTCTGGACAGACCTTGTACATCAGTTTCAGTGCTCCTTAGAGCTTTGAGACTTGTGGGGGGGGGACAATAAATTGAATAAAAGCACAATGAAGCTTACATTAAGGTCCTTACCAGATGCAATGGGAGTGTATCGCAGGAATTTCTCTTCTAATGAGTCTGACAACAGTTTTAATCAGAGAGGGGATCTGACTAGTTTTGCATGTTAGAAAGATCATTTTGACTGCGATGTAGAGAAATAACTGGAGGGACCAAAACAGGAGGCAGGGAAACCAGTTTAGCAGTCAAATGAGGCACAAAGGTGGCCTTAAACTAAGGGAGCGGCAGCAGAATGAAGAGTAGAGAGTATGCGACAGGACTTGATGATCAATTGGATGTCAGGGAGAGGGAAAGAAGGAGGCGACGATGATTCCTTGGTTTCTAACTTAAACAACTGAGTAGGTGGTGGTGCCATTTATTGAGACAGGAGAGTCTGGAGGACAAATGGGCTCAGGGGAGGAAGAGCCTCACTTCAGGCTTGAACATGTTGAGTTTGATTGGCAGTGAGACATCCGAGTAGTAATGTCTATTACATGTTTGGGAATTCCAAAGAAGAATCTGGGATAGACACACTTTAGGAGTTTTCCGAAGTGGGTATTTAAAGCCAAATCTTTGAAGTGGCTTAAATCAAAGAGGCTCGTTAAATTCATGAACTACAAAGTATGTGGAGGCAGTGCTACCAGAGCTGAGGCATATTCAGCAATGTCATTGAAGAACTGTTTTTTTTTTTTCCATTTTTCTGTCATGCCAACCTCAGTGTGTTGACTGAGGGTAGCCATGGTTGTGGTGGCAGAGGCAAGTGGCGCCAGATGTTAGATGGGTGGAGTCAGACCGGACCTTAGTTCAGCAACCTTGGTACTTGAGTTCTGGCTAGGAAAGAATTCAGAGCCAAGACTCAAACTATAAGATAAAGTTTATTTATAAAGTCACGGATGTTGGAGAAGTGAGCAGTAGAAGAAATCAGCTCAGGAAACAAGTTACAGAGGCAAAAGAAGGGGCCCTTGGAGCTTAAGAGGGAAAAAGAGGAGGGGGACAGGAAAG